ATACAGTATTACATTAATTTGTCGCACCTTTTTAATAAGTACAGTAATTGAAATAATGAAATATTTATATATATTGTTGTTATTGTCATTTACAATATTATCAATGTCTTTACTTTCAGGTTATGTACTTAATTTGCTTAATTAAAAAAAATTGTCTTTGCAATTGTGGGGTTAAACACAATATGCTCTTTTGTGATTTGATTTTTGTTTCGTATTTTAAAGAGTATATTGAATAAAAAATGTTTTAAAACTAGTAAGATAAGGAGCCTCCTATTGCGTGTACATATGCCACAGGGACATGCATGTACTTTATCCAAAACAAGCATCCTTACATGTTTTCCATGGTCTTATATCATGTAATTTTTGTTACTTGGTACTTCTATAGTGCTTTTCCTTGCAATTACAAAGCATTAAACAAGTAATACTCTTCCTCAGAAATGGTTGGTAAGCAAGTACTCAAAGAGGGAAAAAACCTGATAAAATTGTGTATATCATTTAGCTGCCTGTCAGCTCTGGTAGTCCTTAGTTCACTAAAAAAAATTACACCATGGTTGATCGTCAAAGACCCCTTTTTGTGTTACTGACCCCTATATCAACAACCACCTTGCCGACACCTTGACTATTTACTGACACTGAAAATACCTGTCGACACCCAATGGGTCAATAGACCCTTAGTGTTACAGTACTAATGAATATTCATGTTACTCATGAACAATCAATACAATAATAAATAACCTGTAAATGTTATCCCTGCCAAGTTCTTCAAAATCTATTTGGCAATTTCTAAGCCTTGTAGTAAATCTAATAATGAAAATTTCTGAAAAACTATTCTCTCGTATGGGTGGGCACTTCCACTTTCATGCAGACATGCAAACAGGCATGTGGATGTGCCATCAGGCAACTGGTGCATTCCATAGTATGTGATGTCAGAGTAAGCACTAGGATACGGATCCAGCAACCAGGGCCGACTCCATGTTTGGCATCCATCACGGCTTAATCGCACGGACATGTTTATCCTGGTGGTGTTGCTTGCTGGATTTGTGAAAAGAACCCAGATCTTTTGATCATTTTTACAGAGAAGATGCTGTGGTGCCGGGAAGCCAACCAGACTAGCCTAGAATAAAATATTATTAACATGTATTGAGCACAAGTTTCACAGGGAAAGGTGCTTTTTACATTAGTACTGTATGTTTAAAATGTTTTTGAATTCAAATGAAGCGATGGGTCGAAGTAAAGAAAAATTGCTTAAGCTAAGATTTTACAAGAATGACCTCTGTGACATTTTACAGCTTACAAGTGGGTCTCACCAATTATAGTTGTGGGAAGAACGAAGAAATCTGCATATTATGTTGATTTAAGAAAACCCAATGAAGTTATTGGGGACAAAATTTCACAAGGTGTTTTCAGCCAAGACAACCCAATGAAGCTGGGAGACCCAATTTAGCTCGGGAGACATTGTTCTAATTAAAAAGCATTGAAATGTACACAAGGGTATTCGTAGGAAATCATATTATCACATAGTTGGTATTCTTCAACACTGCGTCCATCTGTATAGTGTCATCGTGTCTAGTGTAAATGTGGCTTTAGGCGAAGAGTGAGATGATTCATGACTGGAGTACCTGCAGTAACAAGCAACAATTCAACTGAATCAGGAAATCCCCAATCTTCGGGGGGTAGGAGAGTTTGGAATCCTCCAAGATGGACTATATTATGAGCAGATAATGGAAATGTTAAACGTAACTGAGTTGATGATGTCATTGGTTAAAGATATTCGTATACAAGGTTCTATTTTTATTGTGGTGTTCTATAGTATCCTGTGTTAAAATTCTGACATTGAGGGTAGAAGAGGTAGTACAGTAATAAAGTTGGCAAATACATTGCGAACATCAAATTTTTCACCGTAGTTTGTTTGCAGCACTCCAATTCATTTTTTATGCCTATCCCTGTACTTGACTTACTTGGCAACCACCAAAAGACTTTACTGTTGGCATGATCTTCGACATCATGTGACATGGTTCTTCAAGTTGTGTGAGTTCTGATCGATGAAATGAAACACATCCGTCATTGCTGAAAGCTTGCTGTCGATAGGCTGTTCCTAAAGTACGACTATTCACACAAATGCTTCCATCTTCAAGTTCAACTGCCTAAAAACAATTAGTAAGTAAGTAATACATGTAACTTATTTTATCTTCATCCAGCACTACTACTATTACCATCATGCATCCAGCACCATCACCATATGCTCCATTCAGCACTGTTACTCCAGTTAAACTTGCCTGAGTCGAATAATTTCCTAGTCGATCTAATTTTTGTGTATTCCATTTTTTAACAATCTGTAAGTCTATACAATTGTTTGGGTTGCAGTGGTGGCACCAGCTCTTCCCCAACTGCGGACTGGCACCTCTGACAAGATATAGAATCTCATAATTAACGCAAAATGTTATTTTTTTTTTTTTTAGTAAAAAAAAATTCCCCGACAAATTGAATTTGACACTTCGTTTCGTGAACATTGTTTCTGGTTTTTAATTACATTTCATAAACTTTCTTTGCACATTCATTCATCCCAATCTTTCACAAATATTTATTTATTCATTTATTTATTTGTTCTTTATACTGGGTTTCCTCTTCAGTAACAAATTACTGTTCTCCCAGAGGGCCCAGTACACATAAAACAGTCCACAACACACAAGACAAACATACACACATGATGCTCTACACAAACTAAATCTCAATATGAGGTTTAGGGAGTGGAGTTGTTGGTTGCAACTGACTGGAATTGAACCCATGACCCTGGGATTGGAAGGCAAGCATCTTAACCACCAAGCTATTCAACTCCACTCCTACAGTTGCCCTCGCTGAACATTCTTTCTCTGTCTCAAACGTACCACAAGCTGTTGCCTCTTTACCTGACATTCATTAGAATGTATGGGATGATCATTGTCATCCTTTGTATGTTGAACTGTGTTACTCAAATGCCATGTGTTACCACCATCATCACTATACAGGACGTTTGACAAACTTTCAGTGCCATAAAATGTATCAAACAATGACATCACAAACTGAGTTATCTTTGCAAAAAAACCTTCCTCTGAAAAGAGACATGGAAATGTCAGTATATGCTGTAAAATTAAACCAAGCAAATTGCTAATTAATGTTCAGCCTACCTACCATTCCCAGTATCAGGGCCATTCGAACAAAGATATACAGGGCAATGCAATCTATGCATTATAGGAACATTTTCTATCCTATGCATGAAAGAACCCAACAAAATAAACAAAAGAAATGGGCTTATCACCAAGTCAGTGGTGGCTCCAGAAATTTGCAGATAAGGGATCCAACATATCCGAGGGGTTCTAAACCAAGGTGCCAACTAGAGCCTCAACCTGACTTCCAAAATAAAAAATCCCTCGTAGCCTCCCCCTGCCGCTCCACTGGCACCACTACTGTATTAGTACCGGATACATTTATAACATTTGTTCCTAAATTGAGCACTGTTTCTACCATTTAACTATTTCTTTATATTTGTATATGTCTACCAGTGAGTAGTAAGTACTTTCATAATGTGCTCCCCAAAACATAAACTTTTTACAGCTCACTTTAAAAAAAGTGTAATAAAGTAAATAAAAGTATTTTAAATATAACAATAACAAAGGAAAAAATTAAAACATTGGCACTGTAAAGTATCTAAAATACCAAAAGTATCAATTTTTCAACTAGGCACCGTTTTTATGTTCTGAATGTTGCGCTGCTATTCTTTGTGTGTTTCATTACCGATTTTTAATGATTGAATATTGTTAAACTTCCATTTTATATACAAAATTGCAATAAAGAATAAAGAATTACAAAGTTTACAAGCAAAATACAGTAATAGCATACCTTCAACAGGTTTCCATGTCATATTACCTGGGACAATTAAGCGTCCTGTACTTAGCTGAATTCCATGCCCTGGACCTAGAAATACAACACCTTGATTTCTGATACATGTATATTGTAAATCAATTTGTGAAAAAATAATATTCAATGTAACAATTGAATGACTTTTAAAACTTTTTAAATTAGAATTTTCCTGGATTCTTTTAAATATCATTAAGTACAATTTTGACAGATGAAATTATATATATTTATTTCAAAAATGGTTTGTGAGGGGACCAATCTAGCCAAAGCTGATTAAGGACCTAACAAACAATAGTAAAATTACATTAATTAAAAATTAAAATTATAAGATTGAAAAAATATAGATTTATTTAAAAAAGCATATTCCTAATACATACTACAAGCATACTATAAGAATAAATATCAGTTAAAAAAAGAAAAGTTAATAACTTAATTTTGTGATTCTGAGCTAAAAATCTGTTGTGTCAGTCTTATATCTTGTTAATTTTTTAGGAATTTTAACTTCTTAACATTTTAAATTTTAACATTTGTTTTTGTGTAATACAAGTACTGCATTTCTTTAATGAGGGTAAATAAACAAATTCAATCTATAATGTTGGTAGAATTCTGTGAGGAGTAAGAACATTGTTTATAAAATCTGTAACGTATCTGGAACATCAAGAGACAGGTGGGGAAAGTGTCGAATTACCTAAGTTTAATTCCTGTCAGTGCTGCAAAACTCCACTCCCTAAACCTCATACTAAGATTTAGTTTGTGTGTACATGTGTGTGTATGTTTGTCTTGTGTAATGGATTCTCACCTACAAGAATGACAGTGATATATATTTGCTATTGACACTCCTTGGTGGATGTGTTGTGTGCCTAAGTAAATAAATAATACTGAATTCTAGCTACAGAAAAACTGACATATGATAATATGAAAAAAACTCCGAAAAATGTGATACACGCCACTGTGATTCAATATTTCAAACAATATTCTTCAGGAATGAAAAACTGTGGTCTAAAGTGGCAGCTCCTTCCATACCTGGTGAATATATATTCGGTGGTCTGCTAAGTTTTCCAAGGGTCTCCTCTGTTATATCTGCAGGACTGGACCATGTCTGTCCTTCATCAAGAGTCTTTATTACATGCACACGACATATATATTTTTCTTCCTTGATCATGTCTGCTTCATTCTTCTCAGTGGGATATGTTGTGAACACTAAAATGATGGCATTTTTATGCTTATCAACAAGAGGCACAGGATTCATTGTCCTAAAATAGGAAAATATATTAGTGATTATAATTAAACATTTAACTATCAATCAAACACTATCAATTCAATCATAATAATTATCATCTTCAACACTGCCAACTTCATCTTCACTGTAAAATTGTATTCTTCTTTTATTATGGTACTTATTTTACACCTACATTTTGGGGGAAAATTACTATACAAAATGATGGACGATTGGGAAACTGTAAAATCCAAACTTTGTATCAAAACTCAAGATGCCGGGCTACTGAACCATGTGTACGTGCCATACAACGCCTGGTTATCAAAACCTATTGACTTTGCCTAAACAATGGGGGCGCTATACACATTATAGCTATGCTCAGTATCATACAATATGCACTTTAAAAGAACCTAGTAATTGAGACGAGTAGGGGGGGGGGTTACTCTGGTATACTGGTTCACACAGCCCTGGTGTGGACAGAGGCGGTGCCAGGAATTCCCGGATGAGGGGTCCAAGGATGGACAGACAGAGAGTAGCTTTAATGTTATTATAATTGTAACGTACATATGTTAAACAGATGTGCTTATTTTAATTTCATTTGACAATTTATAATTTCATGTGTGGAAAATAAATAAAACAAACAGAACTCCTACCTGCGATTCTCAAATGACGCAATGACTTTTATGTCCTCCCAGTCAATATTGTCTCCTTTCAGGAAGCCTCGTCGCATCACAAGGTCCATTGGCCCCCAATCCCGGAACGACTGTTTACGTCCTTCACAAAAAGCCAGAAATGTATCATTATGAAACACAAGAGCAGGAATCCTTCAAGGGTAAAAGAAAACACAAAGGTCAGTCATAAAATTTGAAATAAATATTAAAATATTTTCTATTTACCCTTTTATTTCATTCAAGACCAATTTCAAATTTGAATGCGGGGTTCCACAAGGCTCAATTCCAGGCCCACTTTTATTTTGAATTTACATAAACGATATGGAATCTGCCCTCAGATGCAAATTACTGCTATACGCTGATGATTCAGCTTTAGTTGTATCTGTTAACAAAGATATTCAACAACAGCTTACTACAGAACTCCAGTATGTAGACCATTGGCTTTTACTAATTCAGAAGACAGTTTCCATCCTTTTCGGATCAAAGCAAACTCTAGTTTAAGTTTCTGTATCGTAATAGAAAATATTTGAATGCAAACTCTGTAAAAATGCTTGTATCTAGCCTTATACTTTATCAGTATGACTACAGATGCAGTGTCTGGTTTCCAGGACTGAAGAAATGTCCCAAACAAAAGTTACAGACTGCTCTTAACAAAACTATAAGATGTGTATTAAAATTACACCCACAATCTCAAATAGGGAGTTCAGTTCAGTTTTCTTTATTCCCAATTTATTAAAATAATTTTATTAGTAATTAATAATTTTTTTGTATAGTATCTATAAACGTTTTGTATATAATGTATTTAAGGCATCCTGTAATTGGCTTTTCGCTGCTGGATGATGATTTGAAATAAAATAAAATAATACTATCAAGATCTGCAAATTTTAAAAATCATTATTCAGTAATTTGATGTTATACAACAGCTAAATTTTAGACAGGAGTCCCAAACTGGAAGAAGCCACTTCCAATTCTGTTTAAATGAGCATTCTGAAGCATATATAATATTTACATATTATATATAAACATATATAATATTTACAAATTATATATATAAATATACAGTATATGTGGCAAAGACAAGCCAAACCAGTCACTCGTCGCAAATTGTGTTTCAGAGTAAATAGCAAAAAAATGTTAGAATGTAAAATTTTTAAAAATCTATTTTATTTCACTCAACTAAGGTTTATATATTTATACATCATGCTGTGCTGTTATTTTTCCCAATTTCAATGTTAAAACAACACTTTTTAATGATTTTATAATAGTTTCTGCATGAGAAATTCCTGAAATCATGAACTTTGAAGGCTGATTTCTCATATATTGTTCTTTAAACAGCTGTATGCTTAAATCCTTGTAACTTCAGAAGGAAATGTCGGATTTGAACGATTTTTTTACCATTTTATTGCTCTTATTTTACTCTTTACTATATACCCTATATTAATAACTAAAAAATGTTTGTGATGAATGACTGGTTTGGCTTGTCTTTGCCACATATAATATTTACATACTATATATAAATATATATAATATCTAATTGTATTTTGCTGTACATGGGGATACCCATCAGAACTGACATCCAAGAGAAAATGTTATCATAAAAGTGTAAAAAGATCGGTTATTCTTATCAGACTTCCGGCGAGACTCCGGTGACTTGCAAGAGACCTCTCTTTATAACAAATCTTTAGTCAATGAACATAAAAGAATGTATAAACTGTAGATGAATCTCATGCCCTAATTATTAAGAAGCAGCAAGTTTATCTCAGAGAAGTGCTATATTTGAACACCTCCCTGCTAATGGCTATCACTTCTTACCTGAATGTGTTGTACTCATTATCACCCTGACCGAAGATTTCTGCAAAGAAAATATTGCATTTTAAGAAAATCATTCACATTGATGAAGTTAATTCCTAGGAACTCAGCATTTCTTGGATTTCATTAAGTAATTAATTTATTAATATCAGTATAAACTAAATTAAATGTTATCATTTTCCTATTATATATTATTAATTGATTCTTTAATTAATTAAGTATGATAACTATTCTTTTTATTATTTGAATAGTTTCATCTGGTTGGCTTATAATTACTGTAGAACTGTTTAATCAATAATAAACCAAGCACAAGCTTGCAGATTGGCACCAGCAGGGGAAAGAGATCAGATTCATGGAAAGATCGTGAGTATTCTTAAGTCGTCTAAGCCTCCGAAACACAACATCACTAGGGAAGAATCATTAGCACTAAACACGTTAAAGAAAGATGCATCTGTAACTATATTTCCAGCTGATACTGTATGGGCAATGCCATGGTTATAATGGACTCCCTAAACTATGACCAGGAAATGCTATGCTATCTCATGAGGCCACATACACTAAACTTAACAAGAACCCCATGCAGCTATGTACGTAAGATTTATCTTTTAACAAGCAAGCAACAGGAAGCATTAAATTCACATGTGAACACCCTGACAACAACTCAATAGCATTCCTGGACAATAGACAACAAAAGGACAAAAGTAAAGATAAAAGAAGACAGGGTGCTTCGCAGACCTTGAAGGGTAATATCGGTGTCCCGTACATCCAGGGGTTGTCAGAAAAATCAGGAGGACCTTACACAACCATAAAATCCGAGTTTACTTTCAACCGCACAACAACCTCAAAGAACACCTGGTGCATCCAAAAGAGAGTACAGTACTATACGAAAAGAAAACACATGGAGCCATTTACAAAATTGGTTGCGACTCCATATACATTGGGAAGATAGGAAGACCCTACAAAAAGCTGCTAGAAGAACACATACAAGATGTAGAAAACAACACACAAAGAGTACGGACACGGTCAGCACGTATCCTGTCTACTGAACAAGAAATTATACATAAATCAGCCATCACTGATCATATGGCGGATCCTGACCACGTCCCGAACTGGGACAACAAAATATTCAAAACGGAATCCACATGGGACAAAAGAACAATCACGGAGGCAATTTCAATAAGGAAACAAAATGGACGATGAACAGAGATGATGGGGCATACAAGCTTTCCCATATATATGACCAACTCCTTCAACCTAAAAGGCCTGGGCCACCCGGAACCAATCCTGACGAGAGAAGAGCTGGCGCACCAGAGGGCGTTGTTCACACAATGCCCAAACAATGGATGCTAGCTCACATAGCCTGACGAAGTCATGTTGATAACTTAGACGAGAGCTCGCAGTAAATTTACATCAAATTGTGCTTGGTTTATTACTGATTAAACAGTTCTACAATATTCTTTTTATTTTTATTTGTTATAATAATAATAATAATAGTAATAATAATAATAATAATAATAATAATAATAATAATAATAATAATAACTATAATAATAATAATAGTAACAGTAACAATAATAACAAGAGCACTCAGTAGACGTATCTCCGCACACCACAAATCTCTTTGCACCTGCACACCACCCCCAAAAGTCCCCAGCCTACGCGTAGGCCTATGTACTTTTTCGCACAAATCATGCAATTTTTTAATTTGTTTGGTATATAACCATGGTATAGAATTTGTGGGAACAAGTACATAAGTGTATGCTGGGGTTTTTTATGTGGGGTGTTGTGGACCCATAACAGCAAAATTACTAAATGTGTTAAAATAATAAAAATGACCATTAGGCCAAAACAAAATTAATTCTAGTTTCACGTTCCCGCCCTCCTCAAATTTTGGAGCCTCATGAAAAAAATTACTATTTGCTATTTTTCAAAAAAAACTTTCCAATTTTCCATGGACAATAAAAATAATGACTATCTGAAAGAATGATGTCAAGCCTAAGAAGCTTGAGGTGGGAACATAAATGGCTGAAATACATTACAAAGATTCATTTTACTTTAAAAAAAAAAAAACTATTTACCAGCCTGTTTTTACATTAGTATATATGATAGTAAAAAGCAAACAGTAAATACCCTCACCAAAAAATAATTTCAAATTCTGGACGTAAAACTAACAATTAATTTTATTTGGCCTTAAGTTTTCATTGGAATAGGGATTTAGTTCCACATTCTCACTTTCCACAAAGACCTGCGGTAGCTAGGACCAACTGCTAGGATGTTAGGACTAAGCATATGCTCGACATGGATGGATGGAAGTAGATATTTATGACTAGGCTAGGCTAGACAAGCCATGTATGTTCCTAACTAAGCTTGTGTCATGCAGTATTACAATTAATTAAGATACCACCTGTGATGGGGAGAACATTTGCTGTAGCCGCAACTAACTCTGATGGCGATGTCATAATTGAATAACTTCAATTTTCGGTACAAAACCTCCTTTTCTCTGCAAACAAGCCTAGTAAAACTGTATTAATTAGCTCACTCGGAAGTACATCCATCAGCTGGGAGAATGATCAGGTTTGTTATTGTTTTTGCACAAAGTATGATGATTGAGGGCGTAGTGGGTAAAGATCTCTATTAATTATGCTCTATGCTCTGGATTGCTATGGATTCATTGATGACCCCTGGCTCTAAATTAACTTTTTCGTTGGTGGCGCTGTCCAGAATGAGAAAAATAATAAAAAAATAAGAGACTTGTGGCATGTCTGCTGGCAACGCTGCTCGCTGCCCACGTGTTATCCATACTTCGAGTGTGTAAATGTAGCCAGCTTTGTTGGCCTAGGCCTAGATAGGCTAGGTAATTCAATATTAGACGACTTTTTTGGAACTTAGAAGCTGAAGATGAGTAAAAGAGGAAGTAAGTCTTCCTATCACAAGAATGAAAACCGTTACAAAGTAAGTAATAAACGACTATTTAGTAACGTGCAACACGGTTTAACAAGCTCTGTTTAGCTTTTTAGTTAGGCCCTACTAGGCTACTAGGCCTATACGCCTAGTCCTTCTTCTTGGTAGGGTGGTACTAGGCTAGCAGTAGGCTATACTAGGCCTCTTCTTAGTACTAGGCCTGGGCCTAGTAGAAGTAGCTAGGATAGGCCTAGCTAGTAGTATAACTCGGCCTTAGCTTATGTTAGTACTAGAGAGGACGTATGTATGGTATACTATCCTATCCTAGCCTCTAGGGCTCTGCATTGGCCCTTGGCTAACTAGGCCTACTAGTGAGTGCAGGTCAACTCGGCCCTTCGCCAACTCGGAACATACCGACCCGGCCCACTGCCAACTTGGCCCCTAACCGACCCGGCCCACTGCCAACTTGGCCCTTGACCGACTCGCCCCATAACCAACTCGGCTCATACACCAACTCGGCACTTGTCAACTCGGCCTTTAACCGACTCAGCCCTTATCCAACTCGGTCCATACACCAACTCGGCCTTGGAAGACGATGTATATTTCACTACAAAATAATTTAATACTGCACTCAAATTTTCAAATTATGGGGTGGGATTATACATGAGTGCCTCATTTAGCATGTAAATGACACCTTAGTCAAGGGTAGGCTTATAATTGCATCAGTACGGTACAAACATTAAAATTACCCCAAGGCCTAAAATGAAATGCTAAAATTTTCAAATGCAATAATAATAAAATCGTCAACAAAATAATATAAACTCTATAAATTATAACTGCTGAATATAAAAACAAAGAGCCAATGTAAATGATTAATACTGTATATAGATTGTTTTCTTTTATATGGACTGGAAATATTATCAGTCCCCTGGCCAAAATCGGTCCCCTTGACCAATTTTGACCCGGAGCAATTTTAGCGTGACAGGACAAATGCACAGGAAATACGTAGGATACTGGTTATCTTTTTTTTTGTAGTGCCAAAGATATGAATGGTACATGGATGAAATTCACATACAGTATGATACCTTTATAAAAAAAATTTACCAGTAAAATTTTTTCATTCATCAGCATACATTACACATTTGCATGATAAAAGTGAATTTAACATAGCAGATAGAATATTTTCTAGTCCCTGAATTAAAACTTGTGATTTTACATTGTTATTTTCTATCCCAGTTTGAAACATTCTCAGAACGTTTGGCTAAGGTGAACATCGATGTTATCAGACATGGGGACCGAACACAAGAATTCCCAGAGGTATTGTACTGTAGTATTTTTAGAACTTAAAAAGATTTTTACACCTGTTTTATTTACTATACTCATTGTAGTAGGTCTCAGGGGAAAAGCTCCAGTCCCCAGTTTAAATGGATATCTAGAGCTGAAAAAATTATTTGTTTGAATTGAAACAAGTATTCTATCTTAAAGTGTTATCCTCTGTGTTTTTTTGTTGTTTTTTTTTTTTTTTATTAATTATGTTTTTTTCTTACGAATGTTTCCAGTATTATTTATATATTATGTTGTAAACATAACAATTAAGATTATTTTATTTTCTGATTGGTATAGGTTGGGGACTCATTCTTTGCTGAAGGTTTGGCCAAGTGGTCTGAGTTAAATTGTACCCAGCATTATGGTTAGTATAATAGCAACATCAATTACATTATTTGCTCGCTATTACTGTTTCTTGTATCACAAACCTGTCAAGTGCTAATAACATTCTAGTGTTTTTGAAGTAGAAATATAATAATGTCATCTTATTTGGCACACGTATCCATCTCTACCAGAGCTGCCCATGGCGCTGTTTTCCACTTGCAAAGTATACCCCTTTTTTCTGCATTTTTTTATAGTTTATACCTATTTTCACTTAGATTTTACATGGTCATATAGTATTAGTAGTTAAGTTGGATGAAGAGCCCTACCAATACTGTGTAATAGTATGCCTTGTATCAATCCTCTATTACATTTTTTTTCTGTAAGGTTCTTTTAGTGCAGAAGTAAACCAGCAAGTCCAAAGCTACCACCAACTTGTGCATCATAAGCAGGTTATAGTTGAGGCTCTCAAGAAACACCTTAAGATAAAGAACAGCCTAGCCTACCAACCACTACTTGAGTAAGTCTAGATGCATTCTTTAGAAAAGTACTACAGCACAGAGATAAGATGTTTGTACTTTTAAACTGGATATAATAAGGCAGACTAAAATTGAATTCTTATTGGGTTTTTTTGGAGATTCAATGATGTAAATCATTTTAGAATTGGTGCTTTATAAATTATTAATATTGAATAAATTTAAACCACATAATCGGTGTCGAACTAAAATAATTACATTTTGATTAACATAACCATGCATTCAGAAGCTGGAATTGGACAGGCTGCATCCTTCATACTTGTTTTTTCACATAAAAATAAACATTTTCAGATAAATAATAAAATTAATAGTATAATACTCATGAGAAAAGCATTAACAATATAATTATACAGATGGTCTTATTGTTTATGAAGAAGCTTAAAATCACAACATTACAGAAACAGCAAGGTCATAAAATTGTTTTGTAAATCATATTCTTACTATAGTGTATTAATCAAAATTTAAAGACCAAAGATTTGGGATGGGTTTGACACTGGTAACTAATTCTTAAGCCACATTTTAAGCAACTGAATCTAATTGACTAGATGTTCTTTTAATCAGTGCTGCTGCTTCATTCATTTTCTTTGCATGAGATTCAACTTGTATACTGTTTTTTGTACAGTTTCATAATTTTAGAATTTTTTGTTTTGTAAATGTAACAATTTTAGCTATTTGCTATTTTTTGTATACTTTTATAAAAATAAAAATAATTGGTGTCAATATAACCATGCAGTCAGAAGGTGGAATCGAACAGGCTGCATCCTCTGTACCTGTACAGTATTTCACTTCTTGTACAGTTAGTATATTGGCCTAGATAAATGATTTTAATATTTCCTGCTTATCATTGCCAACACAATTGACTCTAAAATACTTTTATATAACTTGCATTTTCAAGATAATAATCAAAATCAAAAACTGATAATTATTAGAGACTTTATAGCAAATTGCCTGAAAGATTATAACTATGTGTACTTTTCATTTTTTATTCTCCTCCTTAGTTTGGTTGTAAGGTTAGCAAGAGATCTTCAGATGGACTTTTACCCTTACTTTCGGGAATTTTTTGAGATCATCACATTAATCCTTAACAAACAAGACACTGAATTGCTAGAGAGTGCATTCCAATGCCTCTCTTATCTTTTCAAGGTTCTTTGGCGATACCTGGTAAAGGACATTAAAGATGTGTTTGAGTAAGTTCTAGATTTTCAATATATATTTTACTTCTCTGAATTGGTAGTAAGTTCTCTCTATACACTACAGACTCAGAAGTAAAATGCAGACGCAACAGACAGAGCCAACTAGAACGGATCGGTCGACTGAGTTGTTTCGCTATATTGCACCGTCTCGAGCAGATCGACTGTGGTCTGACTCAAGCAGATCTTCTGTGTGTATAATTCTGGCAAGCGGTCTGGACGGCATGCAAACTTGCCCGATTGATGGGCTTGCCATTCGAGACCTATGATGCTAGGCCTTGCTTGGCAGATGGAGGGGATTGACCGCGGGCCATTATTTTTTCAGTACATAAATATGGCTTAACAGGGCAAGGGTTTGTTATCTTAGATTATATTGTTTTGCTTTTGTATATAACTTCAAATCAGTCATTTTTGGCATATTATGCTCTGTACACACTATTAAACTTCATGTTACAAAAAAAATGTGAGATATCCATATTTGGGTGTAATATGACATCATACCCATAAATTATGGGCACAGTACACACATTTTTCGCATAAACTTTGATGCTGTGGACAAAGCATTATGTACATTAATGTGTGTACTATTCCCTCCCAAAAATTGAAAAAAAAATGTTATATTTTCTCTCTAGATTTTATCAGCCTTTGTTAGGAAAGGATCAGAAACCACATATACGCAACTTTGCTGCCGAAAGTTTCTCCTTCTTAATGCGTAAGATACGTTATCCTGATGATCTGTTTGACTTCATATTTAGCAGACTAGACAAGGACTCTGAGGTAAGGAACCTGGGATTCCTGTGGACGCCATCAGTGGTAGTGGTTTATTCCAGTAGAGTAGACCAAGGGTTATTTTATCAAATTTATTTAACCTCAAATAACCTTATTTACAGTATGTTAGTTATAATTCACATGTACAACTTATAATAAGGATTGCTTTGGTGAAATTATTTTCATGTATCAATCTTGGTGATGTTTCCGCTGGTAATCTCCAAGGCCGGTAAAGGGTTAAGAGATGTTACGATGTGTTTGCACCATGACGATACAAAATTTAATAAATATCAAGATGATTATGATGAATATAATGGCTGGTGCATGGTTTCGGAGTTCAAATTTATGACACCACTATTGACTTATAGTGATGATTACAGTATTCAACTATTTGCAAAATATTATTGACAATTCTGAATAAAATTGTTGTTACAGCTTTGTACTGGCATTGGTCAGCTATTGTTTGAAATGGTCAAAAGTGTCATGAAGCAATTTCATTCATGTACTGGAAAGGTAATTACATATTTATTAATATATATTTTCTTTTATTATATGTTTCATGGCTCTAGGGAGATTGTTGTTAATATTATCATTATTCAAAAATTACATTCACATTTTCGTACTGATATTGTCGAAAATTGAAAAATATACCCCTTTTCAAATTGCTTTTTAAGCATGAAAGTGTAAAGACAAAACAGTAAAAACAACGCAAAGAGATAAATGTACCAAAACCTTCCCAATTAATGAATGATATGTTAAAAACAACACTTTAAAATATTTAACGAATTAAGTAATATATTTCAATATTTCAAATTAAAGCAAATTTACAGTGAGAAAAAAAAGAAATGTTACTTAGAAAATATTCTATTACTGTTGAATATTTACAGAAATTTGGTAAAATATCCTTTACTTTTTAGTTTCTCATTTTAGAGTTCTTAACAAAGAGTATTGTGCAACATTATCATTTCTTTCTCAGGTATTACCAATATTATTGCATAAGCTTGGACCTGATCAAGATGGAGACAACATCCCTACATTGCCATGGGGTCTAGTTCAAAAAGCATTGTCGCACATGTTATGTTGCATGCTTGAACACACAAACAAGGAAAATGTGCAAGTTGTGTGGGATTGTTTTTATGTAAGTTTGGCTTTCAACAAATACAGATAGAGTATTCTTTGTTAGTATACATAGGATTATTGTAGTATACTGTAGTATTAGTTAATGTCCTAAACAAACAGCGAGAACAGTATTCTCAGGAAGAATGCATCAAAGGAAATTTGCATATAATGATATTTAAATATTAGATGTGTTTTCAACAAAAGTATATATTTGGTTAGTATGAATAATAGTCAACCTACAGTTTATAAATTTTATTTTTTAGTATTGCTTGGTATTTTGTGTGTAATATTTAATTTTGTTGTTATAATCCAATTCCTGTACCTATAGGCTATTATTTTTGTTTATTTGTCATACCATAAAAGAAATGCATTGAAGATGATAGGTCATCCTCATGAATACATTAATTTATTAAGTTTGGAAATACAAACCAGTCATAAGTTGAAGATGTTGTAGCATTTTTTTTCATAGGAAATATTTCTTGTTTACGTTGCTTTTTAGGTTGTCTTACCTGGTTTTCTGGACTTCTGCTACATATGCATCACTAGCAATAATAAACAGACTAGAAAAGATGCCCTACAAGCATTGGCCAGCCTAGCAAACACTAAGCGACCTATGATCATTGATGCATCACATTTGGCGTCTTATCAGCCGTATCATTTTGATTTCAGCTTAGCTCAGGAAAAAAGGTTTGAGATCTTTGAATGAATTTTTGTGCTGTATTAAAATACAGTTAAACTTGCCTAAGTTACATGCCAAGTTGTTGTATTTTCCATTTACAATCTGTAAGTCAAATTTTATCTAAGTCAAACAATTTTTCAATGCCATTTTGGATTTGACTTAGGCAAGTTTCAACTGTATATATTTATTTTTTTCAAAATTAGTTTTTTACAAAAATATAATATTTTTTGTTCAGATCGTTTTGAAATTGTCAAAAAAGGTAAAATATTGTTTGTAATTTTGCATCTAAATTAACAACACTTTGTTAATCCTACTTATATGATAATTGCTGGATTTCATCTTATCAGCTTTTTTTTTTTTTTTTTTTAACTGATCTGCCAATATTTATACATTAGGTATTACGTTTATATAAATGTTAATGTACTATGTTGTATTAGCTTACTTTTGTTGCAAGGTACACTTTCGTAATAGACTATTAACCCTTTAAAGTCTTAGCCACAGCCACTACTAGCTGTAGCCAGTTATATAAAAACATCACAAACATTCACTTGTGCTATTTTACTGGGTGCAGCCATTTTTTTTTTTTGCTTTGAACTCTTACCTAATAGTGAGAAAGCTAATTAAGTAATTTAGAAAGTTGCTGTTGAGACAGTGGAACACATAGGTAATTATAAGTTTTCATTTCAACCACTATATTTCAAGGGATAAAATACAGTAAAATCACAACAAACAAAACAACCTAGGTCACTTGCTTACTCTGGCAGGCAGGGGCAAGGCAAAGTAAACAGAAAGGGGGGCGGGGATTGTAAAATACTCATGGTATTTGATAAATTCTCTTTAAATTAATAAATAATATAATGTATGGTTATTAGGATATAGCCTCAATGCCTTACACCTGGAATGGATTGAAATAATTTATGAAATACCTAGTATTTTGTTTCTTTCAGATATAAGAATACAAAAATCTGCTACTATACCAGAATATGTTTTATCTCTACTGAATTTAAAATTTTGGAACAAATATTTTGTTTCTTTCAGAAAAAAGGATAAACCTACTATTATACAAGAATATGTTCTGTCTCTACTGAATGTAAATTCCATTGACATATGTTCAGAGTCGAACCAATCCAGCCTGTGGGGAGCACTGTGTTGCATTCCACACATAAGGTATGTTATGGTTCAGTGGTTATGATGTAAACCAGCTTGTAGTATGCAGTGATGGTGTTCAAAAAAAAAAAAAAAAACATGTTAAACAGTACTTAACTATGAGAATAAGAACATTGGTATCATTTGAAATTTTGTTGTATACAGTAGAAGCTCGTTTTTAAGTACCTCAGTTATATGAACCCTCAGTTTTACATACGCCTCGTACAGATGATGACGTCCTAAAAAAATCCCCGAAATACTCAAAACAGGCCTTTTTAGGACCACCATAATGTAAAAAGAGATTTGTTAGTTTCTGTATGTTCATTATTCTAATACTAGATATAAAGTGATGAATTAATACACTAGACATATTATTTTATTTGAACACTTTACTATGACATCATAATGAATAAGTGATATATTCATATTTAGTCTTGTGTACGTATTGCATCAAAGATCACCACAAAATTAACCCAACCTTAATTTTAATACAAATCCCAAGGTCCCATACCGTACGTAAAATCGAGGTTCTACTGTACATATTTATTTTTTCCAGGCCTATGGACAAAACCAAGTGTAAAGATGCTCTGAGAAATACAATTACTAAATTGGCTCAATTACTTCCCAGTTTAGAAGACCCATTGAAAGGTAATTTAAACTTGAAAACAGTGCTGGTTAGAAAATAAGAAACTCATAATTAATAAATTAAATAAGCCTAGGAGCCTGTTGTACACATTGTGAACTTTTGATTTTTTTTTAAATTTTCACAGTATAACATATGTTTCTGGAGATTAATCATTACTGTAGATACCATACTCAACAAAAACTTGACATTCTTCTGCAATCTTGTTTACAAACATCACTGTTGTGTAAATCATGAATGACATACCCAAACGATTGAAAAGAAACTAAAAGCAACACAAATTTAAGTGCAATGAACCAAGATTTAATTAAAGAAAAAAAAAGAGGACTTCTGTTTAATTTATAATTAATGTAAATTATTACCTTTTTTTCAGATAAGGTGCTTTTTATTTTAGCCTGTGCAGTCATTGATTTATGCATAATATTTGAAGCTGATAACATAGAAATCTTTCAGTCACAAATTGACATTATGGATCTGTTAAGGTATTTGTTTATATTATTTTATATGTCTATCATGATGTCATCATTTTACCTACAACATTATAATGAATTCTCACATGTGTATTTTGTAGATTGTGTTATAGTGTAAAATGATTTTTTACTATATTTTAATGGACGTAAATAGGAACTCAAAAAGAATAGTGCTACGATATATATTTCTAGGAGGTCTGTGCATTCGTTTTGGCGGTAAATCATCACAAACTTTTGGTCCTTATAATACTCAAATTAGTATATGGTACTTAGTACTTAATGACCTCTATTATAGAGGTGACTTCATAAAGACACTACAGCAATATTGATCATACTACAATGAACCGAAGAGCAGAATTATGAACAAGAATGCACTCTTACAAAATCTAACTCAGATCTAGACATCAAAAACACTTCTTCTGTCACTCGGCTTCAAAAAATAAATAGCTATAAACACATTGATTAATTTATATATTTTGTATATTTTTAAATAACTCCCTTATTGCTCCCATACTCTAAATTCAATGTAATTACTTGCCACTGTACGTTTGCCATATATACTGTACATAGCCATGATTTTTATATAAGTAGTGACACATGTAGTATCTATATGTATTCTTGTTCAAGAGCATTCTAATTTTTCTTGTCTTCTAGAAATTATTCACACAATCAACATGCATTACTGATTGGAGATATATTTTTTAAACTCAACAAAACAAATGAGAACAGCATGGTATCAGCTATTACCCTAGATGAAGTTTACCCACTGATCAAGAAGAATTTATCTTCTCCATTTAGCAAGGTAAATCATGTTATCCACCACCCTCATCATTTCATTCAGTGAGGCAAGGTATTCAATAATACTCGGATTATTGTGGAACATTTTAAGCCCTGTCCCGACTGTCAGATTTTATTTGACAAAAAACTGTTGTATGCCCATGTATAGTTATGATGTGCCTATATATGGTCAAGATGTGATGACATCATGTCTGTATTTAGTCATGTCACATGTTTTTGTAAGATATAGTTCTATTCATTTACACTCATCATTATAATGACCTTGGGCCAAGTCCCTCACCCCCCACCAATAGCACCTCCAGAAGGAATCGACATTGCTTGTATTACATCAACTAAGTTCATTCTATTATGCAAACTCTAGAAGCATTGTAAATAATTTTTTTTCCGTCAGTAGTAGATATTTTTTCCGTTTAATTAACTTTTATTATCATCTCATCCTTATTATACATTGCTCCTCATCTTGTCATCCTAAAATCATTAAGATACTGTTATAATTTTTTGTGATGCTAGGTGCCTAAACCATGTAATTTTTTGGCATTATTTCAGATTCGGCTTTTAACCTTACGGATTCTTTCAATGTTTTCACTTGAGCTACCTCAATTAGATGACAAATTGGTGAGTAAAGTTCTGGTATACATTGGAGTTTCTTAAAATCACATTACAAATAATAGGGGTCTTGACAAAGACAGGGATGGCGCACTTAGATTACAACAACATGCAACCTATATTATTTTAGTGGTCATGAATAATTGGTAATCGCCATGTTTAACGTACTAATACCTCCTACAAAGAGACAAACTATATGTTGAATTTGGAGCTGATGTATCCAAAGGATGTTCTCCCGACTCAGCAATTGAGATTCAGTTAGAGACATCTTTGTAAGCAATAGCATTGTAACCTTCTCTGATATATTATTATTATTTGTTGATATATTATTTGTTGTGTTTATTTTAGTATATTGAACAAGTTGGTGTTTTCAGACTTTGTCTCAGAACAGAAATAGTTCCAGTGACAATATCAGACTACCGGGAAAAAATAAAGTGTTTACAACATTTGGAATTTAATGGTATACAGCACAATATTCCAAAAGAATCCTGCCTTACTGAGGTGAGAAAAATTACTGATATTTTCAAATGATTTTTTTAGTTGTAATATTCATTCATCAGATGTTAAAAATTAATAAATTTGAATATTATTTGTTTTGTTTTCAAAGTTGTGTTTTAGCAGTGAAATTATTTAGAGATATATTTTGTGTAGCTTAAATTAAATGTTTTGTTGATTGTTCTTTCTAACATTTACTGGACAGTAACTTTTGTTCCATTATAGTATTTTTGCCTCCCACAATATCAGTATTCTAAATGTTTATAACCAAATGTTTATCTGTTACATTTATAGTTTGCTAAATTTATTTGTAAAGGAAATAAGTGAAAATAATTGATTCATATGAAAAAAGCGCTCCATACATAAAAAAAAAAAGAGCCATGGTTCAGGCCGAGTTGAGAGGTAAGCCAGAGGCTTAATATCAGTGCTGGCTCATGACGTGCCTCATCCAGGCTTCAGTTGGTAAAATTAAGTCTTCTCAGATAAGGACTTTAAAAAGTGCACTTTGAAGTACCCATTCCATTTCTTGCAAGAGTAATAATAATAATAATATTTATTTGGCAATCATCAAGAACAATTATAGCCTGGAGTGAGAATAGGCACAATCCCAAACAGATACTGCACTCACTCCACCTTATAGAAAGAACAGTACACCAAGGGGTTACACCAATTCGATGGTTCATTTCAGCCCTTGTCGTTGTGGAATGATGTGAACAAGAAACTACAATAAGCACCTCTCTTTAAAGGCGGTAGCTAGATTGCGCCTATAGTTTAACACAATGATGTTGCGAGTTATTGGTTATTCTCTTACCTTTATCATACTTCCTCTTTATATACAGTTCGCCCTCCAATTCGAGACCACCTTTGGGACCTGAAAATTTGGGGTGGTCTCGGGGTTGGTCTTCAATTAGAGGGCTAGGTTTGTGTTAAAAGGTTGAAGATTGTTATTTGGGTTTTGGGAAAGTGGACTCAAATTAGAGGGGTTTTGGGATTAGAGGGGCCACAAATTGGAGGGTACACTGTAATAGATTTATATTTCAATTTGTGCAATGTGATACAAACTTATATGAGTTAATGTGACAATTCTGCCGAAAAGTATTTAAAAATAATTTTAGTAACCATTGTCCTATAAAATTTCTCAAACTCTAGGTTCCCCTTCTTTACTTGATCAGTATGTTGTATGCAAACTTCAGGTTACTTTGGGAACCAGTGATGGAGCTTATTAGGTTTGTTATTCATTTATCTTTGATTTTCACGTTAATGTTTTTAGTGTCTCCTCATCCTTCGTGCTTGCCAACATCACCATCATCATCATCATCCTATTTGAGGACATTCATTATTTTTATTTTAATATTTATGTAAATTGCGGTGATGTGTTTACACCACATATTGCAAAAAAATGTTTACATAGCTCTATGCCTGTGCAAGATAGTCATATGCTATGAAATAAAACATAGCTTTCATACATAGAGCAAGAAATAAAATTTATTCTATAAAGAAACTCCCTTCAAGTTGATGACTGAAGTGAAATATAAAGAATAGCTAAATTACTTCGATGCTTAGAATTAAAAAAGAACTAAAAAGAAAAAGATTTATTTGGGATTACATGTAAGGCCTAGGTTAAGGAGCCTAGATAAACTTTAATACTGCATGGTAGTAGATGAATTCACAGACCAATGAAATAATTTAAAAGCTGAGCGATCTCTGGGTAGTCTAGATTTGTGATGGAACTAATGTTCACATAACGCTTTGCATTTACCTAGCACTTAACTCTGGTATATTGTTTTTCAAGGCAACAGTTTAAAAATTGAAATGGAAAGGTAATTGACTTTTAAAGTGAATAATATAGTGCTATTTCCATACATTAAACAGGAATGTTGCAAATACTGTATGAATCAGATATTGCTTTTGGCTTCTGCAGGCCTTAGGAATTCTTAATCAAGCATTATTATTATAAATTACTTTTTTTTATTAATGTATTGAATACAGCTGTATTAATTGCTTATTAACATAATTCCTCTAATTAACTTAGGAGTTATGCATATGGAATGGACAAGAAATCCTTCTGGAAAACATATGTAGATCACCTCAAGGCAGCATCCAATATTTGCCAAAAACTGTTAACTGAAAACAAGAAAGTGTGTGTTCAAACTACACAGCCACCTCCTGTAACTGCAGATGATTGCGAACATGTGACATGTTATCAAGCTGAGAGTGTAGATGAACTCTTCAGCTCTGTGTACAACCATCGTATACAGGATGTTGATAGACCAGACTATGTGAATTTCCGTGAGCAGGCTTGGAAAGCTATGCATCTGTTTGCCGATCGTGCTGAGATTCACTCTCGAGAGTTGACGCCCCTGTTTTTAAATTTTATGGAGTAAGTGGTTATAAGTCTTTCGTATATATTTACAAGATGAAACAAATGCAATAATGGAGCCATCATTAAATGGCAATTTAATAAAAGTAGTAGAACAAATCTCACAAGAATGTCACTTGAAAGGAGCCCAAATAAATTCTGTCAATCTATTATTCATAAATATTATTATTATATTTTGATAGAAACTAGTATAATGTACTGAAGGTATTGAAAGAGAATAATATTTTAAATTTTATATCCCATTAATTTAGGAGAGAATATTATCCATCAGATGTCTTCAGTGCCCCTACACAAGATATTCGTAGAAGGAGTGAGATAGTAGAGGACTCCACCAACCAGGAGGACGTCGTTGAAAACGATAGAGATGATGGAGATGACAGTCAATCTGATGACTTCAAGAAAGGCTTAGGTCTGCCAAGACAGAAACATTCAGTTACCCAGTAAGTTAGAAATATTTTATCTATATCCTCACAGTGTGAAATGAAACTTTTAATATTTGAAAATTATATGGAATTCAAGATATTTAAGTGAAAAAAAATTACTTGTTGTGGCCCAAACTTGACTAACCCCAAAATCTGAAAATATAGGATTGACTTTAATTATTGGGAAGTGTGGGATCTATATTATAATTAGCATGCTTACTGTATTTCAAAGCTTACGGATACAATGCAAAACCAGTAGCACTTAATAAACCTCTGGGATTCGAAACCTACCAGTCTCACAACATTGATTATCAAATTCTCGAGGGCACAATTGAATATCAATCAATATTTAAATTAATTGATGGAAAAATATTGTCTTGTAATATTTTAGACCCAATAGTCGGTAACCATACTAAATAGGTAAGCATCTATGGTTCGGGGTTAACTATGTTATTTTTAGCCCTCAAATTCGAGTTTAAAAATACCAAATGAAGTTAACAAACTTTTCCAATGATCTAAAGATAACAGACCATTCATACATAATTAAAAGTACAGTTTGGGTCAGCTGTATTTGATATGAATTTTTTTATGGAATCTGAATCATTTTTAATATAATATTCTGTTGGAGGGACTGCAGAACCTTGGCGTGAATAACTAATAATAAATAAGAGAATGATCGTAACAATAATGATAGTGATGAAAATGATGATAATAATCATGACAGTTTTTATTTCTAGGACACTTCTGGCTCACCTCGAGTTGTTTGCCAAGTTTAAAGGACCAAAAAGTCTTTTTAAGGAGCCAGAACTGAGGAAGCTGTACACAAGTGTAAGTAGGAACTTCAATTATGCGTGTATATTCCTATCATAATTTTTATTATGTTAAGTCAACAGTGATGTCATCATTGTGACTCAGTTATTTTCTTCTCCCAATTGTACAATTATTCTTCAATAGTAGTGCGCAATTTTCTTACCTTTTGTAGTTTGTGTACAAATTCACTCTAATAAAAATATAAGAAATTTCTTTAATCAGTGGACACTTATAACTAAAACTGAAAATTTAAGAGGAATAGTTGAGGCATAGGCTTATTGACAGTCTGAAAGAAGGAATTTAGATAAGGCCTCACAAGTAGGGTGCCAAGGGCAAGGCCTTGTCTGTGAACAACTACATACAATGACTGAACCATTTCCCAAAGACATAAAAGCATAAATATTCAATTTTTCGGGGCATCATACAGTATTTGTCAAAAATACAAACCTTAAGCAGAGTAGGCTACTGCATCATTGAAGCTCTCGTTTGCCTTTTTTGTCTATGTAGCTTCTGTCACATAAATATGGTAAAGTGCAGAAAACAGTCCTTCAATGCATCTTTGCTTACAAGCACAAGTATCTGACACCCTACCAGGACCACTTCAAACTTCTTATGGATGATAAAACATTCCGAGAGGAAATTACACTTTTCAACATTGATCCTGAACACGGCGTTGTTGAAAAGAACCATCGAGCTGGCTTGATACCTATACTAATGAGGTAATTATTATGAACTGTTGATGTCTGATAAAGTTCTCTGACAACGTTTATCTTTTGAATGTAAATTTAATTATTCTATTTCATTTCATGAGAGTGGCCCTCACAGTCTACAATCACAAATTTACTGATTGACAAGGAGGTTAGTCAGGCAGCTTAGGGCCATAGTTTGACTGAATGATATTAAATGGCTGCCATAATGACCTGAGATAAAATAGAGTTAAGAAGTTACTCCGAAATTGGAGTATCTGCATCCTCCGCCAAAACTCTGATTTCAGAGGTTTTGCGTACTATAGGCGGAAACTCCAGAATCAGAGTTTTTAAAACCTTTAATCAACCCTTCGATTTTGATGTTTTTACGTACTATTATCATTATATAGGGAAAGCAAAATTAACCCTCCAATTCCAAAATTGAATGGTTGATTAAAAGTTTGAAAACTCCAGTTTCAGAGTTTTCGCATATAGTACACAAAAACCTCTGAAATAGGAGGGTTGAATAAAAGTTTTTCTATATGGAGAGAGCTTGTAATTTATAGTATGCGAAAACTCCAAAATCAGAGGGTTGATTAAAAACTTTTAAAACTCCGATTTCAGAGTTTTCGTGTATAATTCGCAAAACCTCCTAAATCTGAGGGTTGATTAAAAGTTTGAAAATTCTTGATTTCTGAGTTTTTGCGTATAATACGCAAAACATCCTAATTTGGAGGGTTGAGTAGAGCAAAACCGCCACAATTGGAAGGTTTAATAATAATAGTACGCAAAAACTCCAAAATCAGATTATTAATTAAAAGTTTTGAAACTCCAATTTCGGCGGTTCCACATAAAATATGTACAAAACCTCAAAATTTTGAGGGTTTTGCTCTCTCTCTATAGAGGGAGCTTGTTTAATTAATAGTACGCCGAAACTCCGAAATTGGAGAGTTGATTTAAAGTTTAAAAACTCCCGATTTTGGATTTTTCGCGTATAGTATGCAAAACCTTAAGAAAATGGAGGGTTGATTAATAGTTTTGCTCTCTATATATGGAGAGAGCTTGTTTAATTAATAGTATGCAAAAACTCCAAAATCTGATGTAATGCATGACACTATGTAATTATTAAGATACCATACAGTATTTGACCTGAAATGACATTAATTGAACTTTGAATGAAATTTGTGATAGTATTTCTTAGCCATATATATTTTTAGACATTATAATTATAATTCCAAGTGGTTTAGAAGTGGAGATATAGACAAGTATTGGTTTTATGTGGTGGCCATTTCAAAATCCAAGGTGGCCATCACAATGACCTTGACCAAAAATTAAATGTTATAACCATAAGGAGCATGTAAAAAATATATGCTTTTGTCTGGAATGTCCACATCCATCTGCTAATCTACTGGGCTAGATATAGATTGTTTGTCAATACCTGTTTTAAAAGGAAATCAGAAAATGTTAATAATCTTAACTTCCAGGATTCTATATGGTAAGATGCTAAGCAAGGCAAAAGCTGGGTGTGCCCAGAAAAGGTCTGTAATTTTGCGGTTTTTAGCAGGTTCTGAAGAAAGTGAGTTAGGTGAATTCATCGATCTTGTTATTGAACCATGCAAGCATCTACTTAAAGGTACGACTAAAAAAGTCTCAAGACCATTTTTGAATACCATTCCGTGGCAAAACAATGTATCTTCATCGCAGATACTTTGTTTTGCCGCATAATCTTGTAGTTACGTTGTTCTGCCACGTGAAATCACTAGATTTTAAAGTCTTGTGCTTAAAGATAGGTTTTGCTATCTCCGAAACGACTCATTATTGAGACCTGAAAGTTTCACAGGTAATTCAGACGTGTTTAATATACTCCTAAATGATATTATCTCAAAATCGACAAAAATGTCAGTTACGTTGTTTTGCCTTGGGCCGGCCATTCAGTTTTTAAGAATAAATCAAAGAATACATAATTCAAATGAAACAGTAATCGATAATTATCACCTCAAAGCCTTTTTAAGGTTGCTGGCTGTTTATTTTTTCTATTAAAAGTTAATATTGTGTTATTTTTCTTACCTCTTTAACTATTGTTAATTGAGTTGTAAAATTGTTTGTTAACAGTAAATATATAAAATAAATTGTACATATAATATCTATCTATGGAATATATGTAATGTTTGTGATAAATATGTATTTATTTGGTGATCAGATACCTGTTCAGAGATGTTAAGAGATGTTCAACAATCCCTTGATTTAAGGTCTGTGCTACCACTTAAGAAAATACACAGGTAAATATACTATGCATGTCACTATTATTTTTGTTGATTTTTATGATGCCTTACAATCAGTGATGACTAGAAATTTGCTGAATTGAGTGTTCAAATCAGACCCAAACCAAGGTCCGAACCAAGTGCTGACTATAGTCAGTGTTTCAAAATAAAAATCCCTGGTATGGCTTATAGAATACCACAGTCATGTTCTCACGATGCCAGGTAGCGCTCTCTGTTTTCAACAGACGTTAGTAACCGTTCATTATGCCTAAATGACTTCATAGGCTTTCTGGAATAGGCATTTAATATTTTACCACCAAAATGTACTAAAAACACAAAAGCTCGCATTTTATTAGTTATCAAACACACATTTAATCATCAATTAAAATTTACAAAGAAAAAGTTAGATACAACATCTTCATAATTACGTTAGAAATTGGGATCAATGGTTTGTCAGTGAAAAAATGGCATCCGGTTGAAAGCTTTTTGCAACGATAGCAATGGAGTAGTATCACGTTTTATCGTGACGTAACACTGTAGTACTCTATGGGTAAAGTTTTATGGTTTAGCATGGCCCAAAATTATGGTTTTAGACTCTAATATTAGGGATTGGCAATCTAAATAACATTGTTTGGATAGGCTAATTAATTTTTTTGATCCAACAAAAATTTTTTTGGCAAAAGGGTCCAGTTTCTCAAAAAGAGGAACCTTGGTAGTCATTGACAACAAATGTGACAGTAGTGAAGGTATTAAGTTTGTGAATAGATGCACAAAACTATCAACACATTGTTGACGGTTGTTGACACTAAGTGATATGACCAATAGCAATAAGCTAATCAATTATTGATAGAATAATGTATTCAGCTATTGATCAGTATATTGATTTATTTTAAATATTTGCTTTTCGACTAGTTTTTTTAACTGTGGCAGTGCCAGTAGTAAATAACAACTTTTTTTTCACATTGCAACAGTGCTGATGCTTTTTCCACACTGCAGCAGTACTTTTAGAAAATAGCAGCTTTTATTTGCACTGCAAGAGCCAAAATTATTATTGTACTGTACTTGTAATCATGTATATGCTCAAAGCAATTTAAATAAAAAATTTAAAGGACGATGTTTGAGTTTAAGTATGTCATTTATACCTTCTTGTTAAATTCTTGATTTAAGCATGATTGATACCATTGCTGTAATATTCAACAAACTGGGCCACATGCTAACGCCTTTCCTTCCCATGATGCTTCATTTACTCATCAGTCTCACAGCTACATTCACAGAAATGCTGGAATTGAGAGATCAGGTTTGTATAAAATACTTTTTTTTAATTTCATTTTTTTGTTTATTTTACGTCCAATGTTGTAAACACCAATTGCAGGACTAAAATATAAAATACAGAAATGCATGCGATAAAACAATATCATACACCCACCCAGTGCAAGATATGATTTCGTTTTTGTCAGACTTTTGTATGACAAATTATACCCCTTTCAATGTTTACACTGACCTGGTTGAAACGTTGGCGGCGCACTCCCCTGGTAGGCAAAAGATTCGCCCGGTGTAAGACATGCACAAGAAATCAGAATTTCATGGTGGTCCAGAGATCTTGTTGAACTTAGGTGACCAAATAATATGTATTAACAAGACGTTTTCTAATGAAAGAGTATAAACAATCCAAAATAAACAGTATGTAGGCTCACACAACCTGCCCCCACATAACTATAAATACTTTGCTTAGTATTGATTATCCTCGACATTATATAATCTCATGGAAATCTATGTCTATGTTATACTGTATTGCTGTGCTTCTAAGTTTGTCTCTAAATTGCCAAACGTTTCTCTTTGTGAATAATAAAATGTCTACAAACTATTTCTGGTATTCACTTTTAATTTCTGTTTCTGTAATTGCCATACTTTTTTCTCTATGTGAATAATAAAATGTCTGCAACCTAATTCTGATATTCACTTTTTTACACTTTCATACCTTGTTGCACAGATCATTTGCTCACTGAAATATAAGCCTGTTAGAGAACCTGCAGCTGTACAAATATCTAAACTTCACATAATCCATCTGTTATTGGCAAGTAATTTGTTTAATAATAATGAATGAAAATACAAAACTCTTCTTTTTTATTCTCATTAGATTCTACCGTACAATGTGAATCAACTGAAAACCCTACGTCCTCTTGGAGTACAGTGTCTGTTGGATTTCTTCATGATTTTTGACAGCTATCCTTTCTCGGCAGAAGAAATCAACTGCATTTTTGAGGCAGCTGTATGGCCACAAATTGCTCGTCTGCCAAATGAGAGCATAACCAGTCCTACAACATTACTGAAGATGATACACAAATGGAGCCTCAACCCAAGGTATGTATTAAAGTAGTTTTACACAGTGTGTGATGATGTGAATCCATGGAGGTCATAACATGTTGGGGTGTGTGCGACAGATTGTTTTCAATGGTGTTAGCTTACTTTCGCAATCGATCAGCAGATAAAGTTGCCTCGTTTATTCGCTCACAAAGATTGAAGATGGTTTCATCAGCCAACGCAGTGTATGGTCGGCTTTAAAGAACAGCAATTGTCAGCAAAACAGCAACTTCCTTTTAGTTTAGTTAACAAGGCATTGCAAAATTAAATTGCATGTTTCCTGTAGCTGCTAATTTTTTTCTTAACTCACCTGATGTGTATTATTTACAGACACTCTACATTAAATAATAAACAAAAAATAAACATTTCATAAATATACATAACTTGTGTTTATCAGGTATTTTGGTTTGCTAGCCAAACATCACCCAGATGATAAGAAACTTACAGTTCTGCCATTTGTCTTCGAATTGCTAAAATCTAAACTGACCACCAAACCAGTGTTGAGCATGGTTCTGGACATTGTGGAAAATCTGTTAGTGATTGAAGACTTTGAAGCAAGTGATAATACAATGGAAATCAAAGTTGAGGACAGACTAGATACCTCCATTGCAATGGATGCATCTTTTCATGGTTTGTTGACTCTTTATAATCTTTTTTTCCAAAACATCCACATATTCCATTTGCTGTATTTTATTCTGTTTTATTTATCCAACATTAATATCATTCAAAGCTTTATGCCAACTATATTCTACACTTATTTGTTACATATTTATTTGTTGTTTGTTTTTTCCAGAACCGCCAACATACGGTACAAAGCTGGTCTTTCCACACATAGCTACGATTTTGGCATACCTGAAGTCAGCACTGTCGAGCAAAGATGAAAAGGAAAGCCTGCCATTGAGAGAGCTAAATATCCTCTCACGGTAAATATTTTTGTATTAATAATAATAATAATGATACCCATAAGGGTAATGGTAATCATGATAATGAAAAATAAAGAAATAACTATTAATAGGATTTTTTTTAAATCATCTATATTTCAGGATTAGTATGTTTGTGACAAATGAACATCAATGCAGTGTGCTTGTTTCCTTACTGCTTCCCTACCTGAAAGGGAATGACTATAGAAACCAGGTAAACATTTTTTTCACATACCTTACAAAATTATTACTAGTTCAAGATATGAAGAAGTAAAAATTATGAATGTGTTTTTAAAGTGAAATGTAAGTGAACGAGAATGTTTTTTTCTTTTTTAAAGAATGTAGAACTAGATCTTCTTCGAACCGTCAGGAATGTGATGAAGCAAACGACAGAGCCATCAGCTTTTCTTGGGTAAAACATTAATATATATTTTGTTGTTAATCTAAAATTTGAAAAAATATTATGAAAAAATGTTAAGAAGTGATTCAATAAAATGAAGTATGATAATTGAGGTATTTTGTTTTCTGCAGGTCAGTCTCTAAGCTCTTGTACACTCTCACCTATAGTCAATCTCGTGTCCTTATCATTGAGATATTCTTCTCAATGGCCCAGAAAGATGAGACCCTAAAAACTACAGCAGAGACAATCGCACAATTGAATGCTTGGGATAAAAGACATGTTGAAGAGCCTGATTTTACAACACGCTTTAAAGCTTTCACTGAAATGTCTAAACTGATCAAAGATTGTAAGCAGCTTGACATGAGAGTCTTAACACCATTGATTTATAACTGTTTCTTCTTCATTTCTAAGGTACGAATCATTTAAACAATTAGCCTTATCTAAATGTGACAAAGACAAGCCAAACCAGTCACTCGTCGCAACTCCTGTTTCAGAGATTATGGTCAAAACATGCTGAAAAGTCAACATTTTTGAAATCTATTTTAGTGCACTAAATTAACCTTTATAATAATAATAATAATAATCTATCAGTCTTATATAGCACTTCATGCATCTGTATATAATCTATACATCATGCTATGCTGTTATTTTCCCCATTTTCCATGTTAAAACAACAATTTTTAACGATTTGGTGACAGTTTCTGCCTACGAAATGCCCAAAATCATAAACTTTGAAGGCTGATTTCTCAAATATTGTTCTTTAAACAGCTGTATGTTTAAACTCCTGTAACGTCATAACAAAATGTCAGATTTAAATGATTCTTTACCATTTTATAGCTTTCATTATACTCTTTAACCCTGTATTAATAGCTAAAAATCGATTTTTGCAACAAGTGACTGGTTTGGCTTGTATTTGCCACAAATTTTATTTCCATTTGAATAAAAAATACAGCGTATAAAGGCTGACATATCTTTCTATCTACATCGGTTTGGGTGCTAGCTTGGAATTTATTGGTTTTTTTTCTTGCTTTTCTTTTGAGTTCCCAATAACTTTTCAATGAAGCAAGATATATTGTTTCTGATTGCAGTTTCTGAAAGCATGGCCTAAATTTATTCGGTATAATAACTTTAAGCTTTGATTCTTTTTCCAATAGAAAGTATAGGCCTTTAAAACTGGAAAAAATGAAATGCTGATGTGAAAAAAGGGGGCATATTTAGGAGGCTGGTAATTTCAAAACGATTTGGGCGTTCGGTCTAAAATTTTGTGTGTGTTCATTATTAATAAAAAGGAACATGTTGGTGGATTATGAGCGAAATGTAAGAAGGTTACCTGGTGACCTTGGTGATTTAATGGAATGACACATGTAGGTTTTCCTCAATAAGAACTACTAATAATACTAGTTATTCTCTATCAACCAACTAATATTGTAAGACTTAGTGAGAGGAGACCAAATTCTTCAATAAAATTTAATGTGAAATTGTTTTTGTTTTTGCTGTAGGTGGATGAGATGTCTTTACGTGATAACTCTGTCAATTGTCTACAAAATATCATCCAGAAACTGGCATCTGGTGGCTTTGGTGAAGAAATGTTTAACTCAATTGTAATCCACAAATACATGCCAGCCATTAAGGAGGGAATCAAGTTAAAGAATGAGGTTATAAAAGAATTATATAGATTACAATATATTATTCTTATAATGTATGCATTAACTCTAATCACGAGTTTTAACAAGTCATCAAGTCTTTACTCTGTTTACTATCTAGGTGTCAAGAGGTGAAATTGTGATGTTACTGCGAGACATTGTCAGGTTGTTCCCAGATCATCCACGATTCTCTGACATGACAGTTCTTTTAGATGAAGACATGGAGAAAGATTTCTTCGAAAATATTAAACATATTCAGGTATCATTCAGCTGCCCTTATTCACTAAATGTTTTTTTTTTAAATTTTCTAAAATGGTTATGCTCATAGAAGCTTGGAACTGTAATTACATGTGTCTGCGTACATCAACACTTACTTCCATATTGTTCTTAGATTCATCGAAGAGGTCGAGCTTTGCGGCGTCTAGCAAAACACTGCACGGATGCCCAAATTGGATATGGAAACCTATACCAATACTTTTTACCCCTTGCGTCTGCCATGGTATTTGATCAGTCCCTTGCAAAGGACCAGAACTTTGTCGTTGAGGCTATTAATACCATCAGGGCTATAACTAGCCAGTTACCTTGGAAATTTTACAGTGTGATCTTGCGGCAGTATTTAAAGCTGTTGACTTTCAGTATTGAATGGCAGAAAGTGGCAGTGAAGTAAGTTGAATCTTTTTAGTTGTTCAAAAAATACAATTAGTTTTTTAATACTTGGTTTTAATTTTTTTTGACTTCATAATTTGTTTAGTAGTACTGTATAAGTATTTTGGGTTTCCATGGGTTTTTTTTACTTTATATACATTTAACTACTTTTCTTTTGTTGCAATTTCAACTTCAATTCTCATTATAGCAATGAGAAAAAGCCCTGTGTTTTGTTGTACAAGCAGACATAGTAAGTCTGGTTAAGATTTTTTTTTTTTGTATGAAGATGAAAACAAATGGAAAGTATTCTTTTTTAGATTGGTGGTTGCTGTCTTAGATGCATTCCATTTTGACCTGACATTATCCAGAGGTGTAGAGTGTTGCATAATGTTCAAGAAAGGGGTAGAGCTAGAGGGTGTAATGGAAAGTAAGTAACTGGTAATTATACATTATTGGCTACAAGTATTAATTTAGTTCAAGAGTATGTATTTCATACAAAATGATTTTTGCCCTCCAGCAGACATTTTATGAATGCGCAGTACATTCCCAAATACTTGCGGAAAAAAAATCGAACCCACGACGTCCGAGTAACTAGCCTGATGTTTTAACCACTAGACCACCGAGCTTGTGCTAGGTGGCTGGTGATTACTCCATTCCACAAATAGCAGCGGGTTCTGCATTGCTAATTCCGATGGCGTTTTGCGTCTGGAGAAATAATAAGTGATGTTGCCTTACCTGACGTGTTATATACTAAATGCTCAGTACATTTTCAGATATTGCAAAAAAAATCTGACAAGTAATTTGAGTGGGAATTGAACTCACAACCTCCAGATAACTAGCCTGGTGTCTTAACCACTAGACTAGCGAGCTTGCGCTTGGTGGCTAGTGATGAATCTGATCCCCAAATAGCAGCAGGTACTGCAATGCTAATTCAGATCATTCAGTACCTATAACACATCAGGTAAGGCAAACATATCTTATTATTTCTCCTGATGCAAAACGCCATCGGAAGTATGTATTTATGTCATTTAATATTTCAAATGCTGCTTGTAGGTAATGTTAAACAGATAAGATAGTCATTTAAGAACGTGAACTAATACTCACTATTTTACTGTCTGGATTCTAGGCTCCTTTTATTTATTCTTCTTAGGCCTTCAACCCATAGAGCAAAGATTACACCTTTTTCTTCTTTAAATAAATGAATTCATATGGTTTATGTTATTTGGTGTATGCTATATAGAGGAATATTGCATTAAACTCATCTCTTATGAAATTGGTACAGGTGCTGAGAAAACAGATGATATAAAAAATGACAGTATCAAAGAAGATAAGATTTTGGAAACTGTAGAAGGGGAAAAGGAAGAGGATGAAGAGATCAAAGATGAGAGCCAAGAGAAGATGAAAAAGGAAGTTGCATTGGCATCCAGAATTCATCATACAATAACTAATAGTATTCTGCCACAGTTATTTAAATCAATAACAAGAAAGGTATCAATTTAAAATTGATTTTACTTTCAGTAATATGCTAATTATTTACAATTGTTTGAGATTGTTTGTCTGCATAATTATTATATTCTGTATCACTACATAAAAATGAATATTGGAGAAAAAATAATTATTTATATTGATAACTCTCATGCTCTTAAATTTTCACAAGGTTCGCACAGATGATGAACATCGTTCTGTAAGGAAGAACATGGCAGATGACAATGAAGTACTGAGAGTTCCAATTGCACTGGCAATGGTCAAGTTATTGCAGTCACTGCCCGAGGAGGAGCTTCATCAGTACCTCCCAAAGTAAGTACTACTCATTTAACTAACTAAAAATACCCTGTGAAAAATTGGCAATATGTTATTTTGTCTTTCCCAGTTTAAAAAAAGTTGAAATAGATAAACTTTTAATATTTTTATGATTCTGGTTATTTTCATATTATTGAGTTAATTTTTACAGCCTAAAAGCTGTAAGCACAGCTAATCATGGTTGAAAAATATGATGTTTTGTATCTTTGCATTTCATTTTTTAATTAGCCTCCCCGAACGAATGCTGTCGTCATCGTCAGTGTTGTTGGTTAAATTGTTTGTTACTTGTTTAACAAGTAACAAACAATTTAACAAGTAACAAACAATTTAACCAATAATACATTCCAAGATGTTTTCTCAACTTCTTATTGTAACTGAACACAACTGGTCGAACTTTAGTACTGACCACCTGTTAGTCAGGCTATGGTAAATGGGCTAACATAATACAATACTACATAATTTAGTCAACTCAGGTGTTTACATAAAAACGACAATGACAAAATACAGTAAAAATAAAAACGACGATGACAAATACAGTAAAAATAACAAATACTGTACAACCGTTCTGTAGTTTCTGTAACAGACTGTCAAGTGGCTATGAGGAGTAAGGCAGTGGGCATTGCTAACTAAACCACATCATCAGTGCAGGTTCTAGAAGCTCCTTGCCCAGGGTTTGGTTGATAGAACCAAGTATTCTAGGATAAGGACTTAACTTGGAGATCCAGAATACACATCTGGCTTGTGTGCACTTTAAAAAACCCATACATCTTACATCTTTCGGAGGAATAAGGAGTTACCCGATGCTATGGTTAATTTCAGTCCCTGTCATTGTGTGATGATGTGAATATGAAGATACTAAGCTCCTCCTTACGGTTGCTACAGTAGTCACAGACCACGCCCTTACGCAATTCAGCACAATGACGCTGGGAGTTATTGGTTATTCTTCTACCATTAACATTAACCATTAAACTATGACAAAGGGGAAAATAGTGAAGAGCAACCAATCAAATATTTGTTTTCTTAATCTAGTGTTGTGATTAAAGTTTGCCAAATGCTTAAGAGTCGTTCGCTTGATATAAGAGAAGTGACACGTGACACATTGGTGAAGATTCTGCAATCACTTGGAGTTAACTACTTCAGTTTCATAATCAAGGAACTCAAACAAACCCTCACTAGGGGTTACCAGGTAGATGTTTGAATGCAATTGCATAAATAATATGAATATAACGTACATAGTTACATCTGCTCACCTATAAAATATAATAGAATGCTTTGTTTTTCTTGTACAAGTAATATTGATTGCAATATTTGAAATTTATTAGATCTAGATGAAACCTATAAGTATCTTGTTTAACTTAATTCTTAAATTTTTAAAATTAAATTTATGTAGGTCAATATGATGCCTATTATTGTTTATTTCACATAATTGTTTATGGCATAAGCAAAGATGAAGTTTATTTATTTATTAACCATATCTTGAGTTGGAGACCCTAACAGAACATGTCTGATGTTCAGGGGCCCACTTGAATACAAAAATATAAAATGTATACAAAAATATAGCCTATCAATCAATTAACCATTACATTTCAATACAGCAAACACTTAAATACAAAAAAATATAAAATTGGTATAAAAATATAGTCAATAATAGTTTAAAAAGCAAACATACAAACTCACTTATAATTTAAAAGCATACAGACATATACACCAGGACACACACACACTCTCACTAAAAAAAAAAGCTATGAAAATAATTAAACATACATTCAAAATCACCTAAAATTCACAAACCGTCAAGATAATAGTCCTATTATATTATTTCAAATTCTAAACGCTATACCGAACAACATACAGTAAAGGTCACAAATCATTTATTACATTAGTGTAAAACAATTTCTGCTAAGTACAGTTAATTATGTGTATATATTTTCTGTAATAAAGGTACCAATTAGTACGTCCTGAGGTGCACATAATGTAAGGTTGTACTTTCACTATAATAATTAAAACATGTATGCATATTATCATAATTTATATTAATTTTTCTTCTTATCAATTGCAGTTGCATGTATTGGCTTACACTGTGAATTTATTAATAAGGACCATGATTGATCAACTGAAACCTGGTGATCTGGACTGCTGTATTCAAGACCTAACTGAGGTATTATAACTGAAAAATGAATTCTGGATGCATGTTTGTTCTGTATTTAGTTTTCATTTTTAATTGTGAACTTTAAATGTATTTCATGTACTTTTAACTTTTTGTATTTTTATTCCCCTGGGTGGGGGTATATTTTGAATAAATTAAATTGAATTGAAATTAAACAAAACTGGTATAATGAGATTGTATTATAGGTATACCTATAAACCTGTTCTGAATTCAAAACACCTACCAGATTTAGAAAGTTTTGTAATTTAGAGAATTTTTCAATATTTCTTAAGGTATTCAATAGTGAACTGTTTGGTGACGTTGCTGAGGAAAAGGATGTTGCAGGAATTGTGGTCAAACTCCTTGAAGCAAAATCAACAAAAAGTTATGATTCTTACCAACTTGTATCACAAAAAATAAGTCAGAGCTCACTCACACCATTGATTCTTCCTCTGAAAGAGGTATGTATGTATTTAGTTTATAATAACCACACTGTTCATTAAGATGCTGATGGCATTCTTGTATATTTAAGTTTGTGAAAAACTGATTTAGCAATGTTGATATTCATTCATGGTCTAGCCACAGAGAGTTTGTTGCATCCTCCAATTACAAGAGTACTGTTTTCTCAAAGTGTCTCTTGTGGTCCCGATGCTAGATTACTGCATTTAACAGCACAGGTATAGGCTTAACTTCAGTCCTGTTCCTGATTTCAAATGCTACAACTACAGTGTATTCTTTTGATTGTGAAAGTAGACCGTTTATTATTTTATTGATGTTGACTGTTTGTACTGAGTACAAGGGTAAAATTGTCTATGTTATCTTGGGAAAGTAATTCATCATAATTGTTGTTATGATAATTACTTTCTCTTTTTATGTTACAGAAGTTGTGCAATGAATAGTCAGTTATAGTACTTGACCATACACAATGTATCTAAATGGCATATCATGCAATTAATTGTACTGGGTGAGCCCCTGGCCCCAAAACAAGTACAATTACTAGCAAGGTCACCAGGGACTAGCCATTCAATAATCTTGTATGTTCAAACCTGTCATTAAGAGTCAATATGTCTAAAATTCATGTTATTGCACAGACCTGCTTACTTGTGTTTTTCTATCCCAAAACAGTTGACAGTACATTACACTGTTTTTGGTTGACTATGGTTTGGTAGAAGCATAACATCAGCTGTGTAGTTGGGGTTAAGTGATATCCAGCTATAATTTTGGTCCTAGTGTTAAAATCACTTTTGGCATTTGCCATATTTAAAAAGATTAACTGTCTACTTCATCTAGGTAAATCAAGGATATCATCTCTATGGTTAATAAAAGATGTGAGGATTGGATAATAAAAATATGATGAACACAAATGTGCATATTGTCATGACCTCTGTGTAAACGTTACACACAAAAAGGGTACAGGATTTTTGTTTTAAAATTTAATCTCTTTTAAAAATTTGTTTTCACCCTTGAACATACATAATGATGATTTCAGTTTAAATCTAAAAGCTGTTGAGTATACCATCAAAACACAGCCAATAGTTGGCAGTTTCTTCACAATAATTAACTACCACGATAATTAACTACCACTCGATCAATTTTGGTGTTTGTAAAATTCTCAAATTTGCTGTGTACATTGAATGCAAGTTGGCTTATTGAAATGTTAATTTTAACCCAATAGATTTGAAATGGAGTGAAAGAAAGAGAATGTTTTTCTACATAAAGAAATGTACACATTAACCCGGGTACTCACTGCATCTGATGTGTATGCAACTGATAATTTTTTAATGACATATAGTTACTAATTCAGTTTTTTTTTTTTAATCTGTTTTTAGGTACTAGATAATACCCATTCTCATCATGTGATTTTGAAGGTACAGGAAGTCCTCCGCAGACTGGAGATTGGCTTTCTTGAGAATTCAGGGATTCCTGACTCAGCAATGTTGATATTCATTCATGGTCTAGCCACGGAGAGTCTACCGCTTGTGACAGAACAAATACAGTAATTTAATCTAGCAATTTCTGTATAGTAATCTAAAGTAGAAGAAAGAACAATTCTTATGGCAGTAGAAGTGGGGTCCATAAAAAACGGATTCGTTTATTGTGATTCAACTAAACCCCATGTTAGCAGGCCAAGAACAATTTTTTGTGCTGCAGTCTATCATACTTTTCTTGATAATCCAATTGCCAGCTCAAGATAAGAGAATTTTTTCTTGATCTTCAATAGAAACATGATAATCTAATCCAGTAATCATGCTACCTTAATTTAGCATTCATAGGAATTTAATTGTAATCTAATCTAAATAATTTTCGAGGTTTGCATGGCAAGAAGACAAAAAGTATCCAGGCGGAGGAGAAAATAAAGTGTTATTGGGGAATGTAAACAGTGTAGTAATGGGATTGATAAATGCTTCAAATTTATATAATTACAGAAAAAATATAGATATCTTATTTTTTGGAGAGTTAAGGCAGTGGTGGGCAAGATAAAAAATAAATTTAAAAAAATAAATTTTCTGAAATTTCTATTCTTTTATAGTTGCGCTAACTTGCCAAAAATATAATTTTAATTTTATTTGAAATCATCATTATTGCCAGGTAGAGGGTTTGCTAAACAAGGGATTAAAATAGTCTCGCCTATAATAGCCTATATGTTTTATGGTTGTTTCTGGCACCTAGATATTTTCTACTACCTATGGCACTATGGTATTTTGGCAATTACCATAATCTAATTTAGTTTAAACCTTTAATATTATTGGAGTGATTAACTTAAGCACTGGTCACACTATCAAATATTATTTGACAAAATTATGCCTAAATATGATGATGACATCACATCAAGGCCATATATAAGCATAGGAAATTTGATATGGACCTTAAAATCCATTATGGGGAAATTTGACCAGGTTTCTACACTATCGGGATTGAAGATGACCAAATAAAGAATTAAAATATAGAAAAAACCAACATGATGGTATGATTGTAATATTTGGAATTTTTCCATTTTTTTCAATTTGTTAATATAGAGCAAAGAGCAACATTAAGGGGGTACGTGACTCACGCCTACAGCCACTTAGCACATACTTACTACCAGAAACTCCAAAAAGAAGCCAAAAACACCCACAAATGAGCTTAAAGACAAACGTGCACATCATTGTTGAATTTGGTCTCCAGGTGAGTGAAACATTTTGATGCATATGTGTTTTTTTTTAATTTTATTTAATTGCAAGTGATTTTAAACACAGTTCGCTCTCCACTTTGGTTTCCACTTCAGTTAGCTTTGCGTTAAAAGATTGATGATTTTTATTTGGCTCTTGAAGGAAGTAGTTTCAATTTGGAGCAGTCTTGCAATTAGAGGGGTCTCGAATTGGAGGGTGTACTGTATGTAAAAATAAGGTCTGTAATTGGATGTGGTCTGTAATTGGAGGATGACTTGTAGTTCCATTTATAATAAATCCTAAATAACAATTTTTATTCAGTTATTCTACCTGTCACTGAAGAAATTCAAGTACAGTGCTGCCAACACCAAACACATTCAGATGCTTGATCCGTTTGTTGTCCTTTTGGTAGAATGCTTGAATTCCAGATACACCAAGGTATATTTTATTTACTGATTATTGTAACATTAGGTTCTTGTTAAATAACCAAAAATCTGTGGCAGGTAATTATTAGCAAAATGTCTTAAAGGCACAAGCAAGAATGGCATTGGGAGGTTTTATATTTGATCTCTCTTGCACCAATGTCCAGTCCCTTACAAATGCACTCAATTTCGTCCTCTGTATTGTAGTTACTGGTTGAATATCCTCAAGTTCTCTTCATTGCCACTAAACTTAAAATTGACCTTCCAGTTGCATTTTCAAACCACAAGTGAATTTTTTTAAACCATATCAAATTTGACATGTTAATTGTTATGTTGTATAGAGGGTAAGTTTGAGATCTGCCAGTGCTGTACGTATGTATACCATTGCGTAAAAATTTGTTTTCTGCTTACCTTGTGCTTCGGATGGGACATTAAACAAAATAAGTAAATCAGTACTTCTTCATAGTAGGTGCTGCATTGTTAAAAAAGCATTATTGAGAGTATTCTGACCTTTAAATGTGTTGTATCAAAAATGCTGATTGAAGAACGATCTGCCTGCGAAATAATTGGGAATATATCAACCATTAACAAAATACAGTATAGAGAAAACCCTATAAAAATAAAGAAAATGATTATGAGCAATACTTGTCACCTGCTAAATTCACACTACACCTGGTCATAGTTCTGGTAAACGTCTTGTAGGCAATTCCATGTAAAACAAGCAGATACAGGAATAATTTTTGTCATCTGTGAGAATTTACCATGGATCTGATATTTAGTTTTAAGTTTCAGAATGTCAGTTATGGTGGGATATGTGGGTTATTAGGTCATAATATCCCTATCCCAAAATACATAGATTGGTTATACTGTAGGTACTGTAGGCGTATGCGGCCATTAGGACCTTGGAGTAACGTTTTTACCCCATAATGCCTAGTTTGGTTAGGTTCATTGATTCTTGATATTGTTGGGAACAATGCATCTACCAATGAATTTCATCAAGGGGAAAATAAAATATATATCGTGTTGTATCAGCATTGAATGTATGGTTAAAACATGGTTAAAATAATCCGTTTTTGATATTTGTTTCAGATGATAACATGTGCTCTCAGGTGTTTCTCTCGCCTTTTAAAGTTCCCACTTCCATCTTGGGAATCAAACTTGAGCAAGGTAAACCATCAGTTGTTCATCCTGTTAAGGAACTATGCACACCCAGGAGCTGGCAAGGGTGAGAACTTTGAACTAGTGGTTGCATGTTTTAAGGTACGTAATAGTAAACTAGAAAAGTTGTACTTGAATTGAAATAGTTTAGATTAATGCGATGAATTTCTTGACCTCCAATACCAGGGCTGGAAAAATAATATTACACTATGTAAGTCTAGCCTATCCAGTCAATCCTTTTGATATTCTAAATTACTCTGATCCCAATGTTTTCATTTACTTTGTCGTAGTCGCCATACTCATATTTTATTATTTGTGAATAGTCAGTGAATCATTTAGTTTATGTCTTCTTGGTTGTTAAATTTATAAAAATGTGGTTTTTTCAGGCTGTCACTGTTTTAGTCCATGATGGCAAAGGCCAACAAATCACAGATGAGCAGCTTCAGGTATTGTTAAGCTATGTGGAAGAGGACATTCATGACCACACAAGGCAAGCTACAGCCTTTTCACTACTCAAGGTAAGAAAATAAATACTCAGGTTTTTATGACACAAAGGCATTTTATAGCTATTAGGCACTAAGCAAAATAACCTACTCAATAATTTTGAGAATTTTAGGTCCTGTCTTAACCCTCATTAGGCATAGTCCAATTACTGTTTGGTCACTACTGGGTTACCACCGCCAAGGTATTCATTTCACTGCTGTCTGTCTGTCTGTTGGGCTGTCTATCTGCCGGTCTGTTAGCAAGATTACTCAAAAACTAATGAATGGATAATCATAAAATTAAGTGGAATGGTACATAATAATTGCAGAAAGACGCCATTTAATTTTCGGAAGAAAAGGTCAATGGACAGGTTCAGGTTCACAGAAATTCAATTAAAATAAAAGAAAATAACGAAATTGCCCAACATATTCTGGCAACACCTAAGAAAACAATGGACCTGTCTAAATACGACAGACGATTCTAGTATTTTCTTGAGGGTATTCTGCAGCGCTAAAGAAAATAATTTTAATAGGACTGGTGATTCCATTGTTCCATTGGGGTACAGCCTGTGTATTGTTGGTACTGTATCCTGGCACAGGGCAGATATATGCACTCGATGGAGTGACTCCTCTAGTTGCAGGTGTTTCGCCCCTTTATATTAAATTACACTATGTCAATTTTAGTAGTGACGGATGCCATCCATTAACATACAGATTGTGATGACATATGCCCTACTGTATGCTCTTCCTTGAGATTCTATTGTGAGGTTGGTATAGAGACATTTAATTATGTAGAAATGTTTTACAGTAATCCGGATGTTAAAAAAGAATAAATTACCGTTTTTTCAGAAATGCATAGAGATGATTGCTGATCCATACAATATTATATAAAGGATCCTATAATTTTAATCATATTATTTTATTGTATAGTATTGAGTATTAATTTTGTATTTTCAGGCCATCTTAACACGTCAGCTAATGGTACCAGAAATGCATGATGTGATTAAGAAGGTAGCAGAGTTATCTATAAGGAGTGAGATGCACTCCGTAAGAGTACAGTGTAGACAGGTAGGATGATGCAATTACCTCCACAAACATTACCACAGACAAAGACTACATGACTATAATTACAGAGAGGACACAAACCACAGCATATATCTGCATGCACACATACGTAGACTTGAATTTATAAAGAAAAAATAGGTGATCCTACTTTTTGTGTGTGTCTACTCTACAGGTTGTAGTTCATTTCTTACTTGACTATCCACTTGGTAACAAGTTAAAACGCCACCTAGAGTTCTACATAGGACAGTTGTCATTCCATGAGGAGAATGGACGTGTGTCTGCTCTGGAGATGCTAGCCACCATGTTTTCATCTTTTCCACAGGTAAGAATTATTATTTGGACAATTTCGTAGCATACTTTGAATCCATCTGCAGTTTTATTTGAACAATCAATCTCCCAGTTTATACTTGCAAAATGGATTATTTAGTAATTTGTGACCTAGCCTCCACTTCTTACTGATGTTGCTGGTGATCTTGGATTATTAATGTTCTTGATGATCATTAAAGATTTGGTACCCAGTCTCAACCTGTTACTAATGTTTCTGATGTTTATTTTGCTTATTAGAAAACTCTGGATCAAAACTATGGATTGTTCTTCATTCCTTTGTCAACAAGACTGGTGAATGATGAATCAGCTAAATGTCGAAAACTTGTTGCATTGGCCATCAAGGCACTTTTACAGAAGGTAACAACTTTTTAACCTAATCCGTCAATTAATGCTAAGAAAACTCAGTTTGCAATATTGGGATGCCAAAAAATAACATAAGGGCATTGACATTTTCAGAGGTGGTAAAATATATACTTTCTGATCTTACAGTTGAAAAATACCATACAAAGAAATTAAGAAATAATTGCATATTCTACCTCTACATCCCTTGCAAAAAGTTATTCCAAACAAAACCTATTGATACATCTCACTGACTTAACTACAATCAATGACGTAACGATGAGTCACAGGACCCAGGGCGAGAAGTGTTGGGGGCCCCTATGCATTTAGTAATAAATTATGTGTGTCACAAGAGCGGTCAGACAAGGGGACCCTTTACAGTAAATTGTAGTATAGCTTGTGTGTGAATTTAATAATCCTTTACTTCATTATTTCAAACTATTTCAATTTCAAGTTTTTATTGGAGCCCGGCTGTCGAACAGTTTGGGTAAAAAATTGATATTTCATAAAAGAAGTGGTTGTCATGCGAGTCCACATTTGTAGACTACATTGTTTTAATTTCCTTGTTTTGGGCATCTTCTACAATTTTGAACTTTTGATATATCGTTTTTATATCAACTATGCTAACTTTTAGAACATGAATGATCCTTTCACATTCGACTCCTACATGGCTAGAAAAAAAATTACATTTTTAAAGAAACCTTTTTTTTTTACCTCATACATTTCATACAAAACAAAAATATGTTATTTCATTTCAGCTTGACGTTGGAATGCGAGACAGTCTCTTTGCTATAGTAACTAACTGGTTGAATGACAGGAAGGTCATGCATCAGAGGTTAGCAGCTCAAGTCTGTGGTATCTTTATTGAAGCAGAGGGGGTGGATTTTGATAGAAGAATAGCCGAGGCATTACCTTTGATTGGTAGAATAATATCAGAGCAAAGATTTAAGATGGTAACTTTATGAAGGTGTTTCTTATTTTTTGAAATGTATTAACAATCTTGAAATACTGTATATTGAAAATCTTAATGAAAGTGATACTAATTGTGAAGATTCAGGTAAATAATACTCAATGCTCAAGGAAATATTATACTTTTTTTTTAAATTATACTTTTAAGAATTTATAACATTGAAGCTGTGAATGCAGAGAGTCCTGATTCATTTTCTGGACTATGATAAATTACAAAAAATATGCCTAATAAGACCTAATAATGAGACTTGGTTTATAGTTAATTTCATTGCTTTCAGGTCATGCTTGTGGATGACGATGATGATGCAAGGTTGGATCAAGACTTAGACCACCTGCTCTACCATCTTCTCAGCACAATTGCTAAGATGTTACATATGTGCAGTATTGTGAGAAAGGACACATTCAAGGCAACAATGAACACCATATGGGGTATGTTTAGTTTAGTTGCATTAGGCGTATTCAACTGGTCTGTTTTGAGCAGCTCTTTCTATTCAAACTGCACATGTCGTATTCGATTGGTTGCACGAGCAGCACAAACTCCTCACAAGAACGGCTCAAACTCCTCACTGTTTTTTAACAAGCACCGCGAACACAACCCGAGTAGTAAATCACTCTTCGGAAAAGGACCAGTCGAATACGCCTATTGTTTAGTTTTGTATATTGCGTTTCGTTTGTTACATGTTACGATTTTTATCCTTTGGCTTTGATTCCTGATTTCTATTTCCTTTTTTAAATTTATAATAGTTAAAAAAAGGTATATACCTTGTTATTTGTAATATTTTAAATAAAATAACCTTATCCATGACCCTTTTAACTTGCAGTTTCAGTTGAAGCTCATCTTCTCCACCCCCATGCATGGGTGCGGCAAGTATCTGCACAACTTTTTGGCATCCTCTTTGCTTCTTGGCAACCACAGGAAATCGTCACCATAGCAAAGTCACCTAAATTAGAAGACTCCAATCAGTCAATTAAGAAAAAGAAACTGAAACAAAAATCAAAACTTGAAAAACAGACAAATCAAATGGAAGAGGAGAAACAAGAGGAATATTACATTCTTACTAATTTCCAGGCAAGATTTAGAGAACTTGCTTATAGATTTTGTACCCAACTGAAGTCTGATCTCCTTGATCAAGAATTATCACAGCAGGTAACACATTGCCTAGAGCTTGTTTCATGGTTATTGCTTACGGTATTAGTTTTTTTAAAGCTTCACCAGAATGATCTTATAGCTATGTTTGTATTGCATGTTGATTATGTCTGCAATAAATCATTGTTTTCTCCTGACTTGTGGTTTTGCATTTCCCAGATTATGCTACAATTTTTACGCAATTAGTCTCAAAACTTCATCCAATTTAAACATTTGTGTCACAGTAGTGCATGCTTAAGTTGTAGATAAGACACAATGTGGCCATACGTCAAACCTGCATCTCTATGTATGGCCCTGGCCATATTTACCCATGGTTAACACGTAGATAAAGGACATAGACAATGAATTCATGCCTCGAAGTTTTTCCACCCTAAAAGCCCTGGCCACAATATTCCATGCATGTAGGATTTATACAACATACTATCACTGGCATATACTTTAATAAAAGGAATGGACTTATGTGTTTGTGCCTATGTATTTTTGTATTTATATTTATAGAAAAAATTATGAATGTTACTTTTAATTGAGTAGTAGTAGTAGTAGTGGGAATTTCTAATACTACCTTCTTTATTTTAGGTAATCAAAAATTTGGTCTTTATAGCAAGAGTAATCCACATATACACCAAAGATGAATTTGAGCAATTTGTACCTGATTCAAAAACTAAAACACAAGAGAATGTTGATGCCAGGACTAAAAATGATAACATCACCACACACCCTGGTGACCCAGAGACTAAGAAACCAGAACTGACATGGCTGATGAATAAGTTATGTCACATTGGCCGAACTGAGCTGGTGAAGACACCCAAGAAGACATTAAAGCGCAAATGCATGGTTAAGTGGCTGGGGGCAGTGAGTGTGCATCTAGGAAAGGAGCATATTGGACCATTCTTACCACAGATCATGAAACCTATGATGAGAGAGGTCTCAGACAAAATGTCACATTCAGGTACACCTACTGTATTTTCTAGCATATTTGACAAAGTTTTTGATAGTAAATTGTTGGCTAAGCTGCTTAAGTTTGGAGTTGGTGGCAAGTCACTAAAATGTATTAATTGACAATAGAACATACAAATTAGTTTTCTGGGGAGTGGAGTCATGTCTAATGCCCATTCACAGTGGTGTCTCTGATTTTGGTTTTTCAATTTTCTGATGGACATAGATAATTTTGCCAATTGGTTACAGAGTGCCATCGTCTCACCCCTGGGAAATTAGGGATTGCAATTGTAGACATCAGAGGTAGAGGTTTCCAGTGTGGTTGGCCAGTATTATTTACTTCAATTATTATCATCACTATTATTAATATATTTGTTATTATTACTGTTCTTATTAATAGTATTATCATCATTATTATTATTACTATCACTATCAGTTGGTAGTCTAAATGCATTTTATTATATATAATTTTCTCATTATATTCAGCCATGAAATTTGGCTGTAGTGGAATGAACCATGGATGAATTGACACCTATATTCTTAAAATAAACTATAGTCGAACTTCGAACTAGATCTTCAATTAGTTCTAGTTCCAACGTATTCAAATTTCTAACTAAGATTAAATCAAGCCTGAGCTAGCAAGCAATGACTATCAAACTAACCAATGAAATTGAGCTAATTCTAATAAGAGACGAAAATTTTAGAGATCTGGTAACGCGGATAAATATTAAGCTGCCATTTGTCGTTCAAAAACATATTTCTTCTTAATAAATTATGTCCTTAAATGAGGTTCTTTTGCAGTGGGCCTTTATTTAGAAAAAGATCTGTATTAATAATAATGATAAACATCACCATCTCAACCTCTTTGTAGACTCAGAATTACGGATACTCTGTCAGGAGGTTTTGGAGATGCTGAAGACAATGGTGGGTATTGAGTCCTTCACAAAGGTTTATGCAAGTGTTCAGAAGGATCTGAATGCCATCAGAGAAGGCAGGAAGAAAAAAAGAGCTCTAGAGGTTGGTTTAGAGATAAAAACATTATTTTATACTATTAGTAATAAATCAGTATTTAAAAGTGTGCAGACAAAATGTATTAACTGTTGTTATAGACAGGTCTAGTAATCTTAAATTTGTGATGATAAATGTGTATTCATACAATAACACTATTCATAATTAATCATCCCTGATGAAGGTAAAACGGTCCCAGGTTTTTGGTTTCATATAGAGTTGCACCAAGATTTTTTTATGAATAAAAACCCTATCAAGATACAGTACTTAGTTTATGAATTTGCAAGTGTACTTCCTGTTTGTTATAATATAAGAAACTAAAGAAATAGAAAAAAACATTATTGCCCCATATTCTATTTATTATTGCTGTATTATCGTAAAGGAATTAACAGCCAACCAGTGCTCCACTGAAATATTTTGAACATCCTTGAATTAGCCTGTTGCTCTCAGTCAGTGGAAGGTACCTACAGTTGTTCTTTCTCCGAAGCAGACATCATCAATCAATTAATTTAAACAATAACCGTGTCATTTACTGTAAGTTACCTGTTATGTTATACTATGATTTTTAGACTGCAACATGCATATTGGTATTTATATCTCTTTCATTTCCACCTTTAGGCTGTTGCAAACCCAGAGACAGCAGCCAAGCGGCGGATGAAGAAACAACTGAACAAGAAGGAGTCCAAAAAGCGGAAATTATCTTCGCTTAGGCCTACTTATCAGGCCAAAAAAATGAAAATGAAAAACCGCAACAAATTCTAATAATTTACGTATTTAAGTATAATCAGTAAAATAGAGCAATGAGATACTACTAAGCAATGAATATAGTTGTATATCATTCACTAGAAGAAATTATTGAATGGAGGTTAGATTAATGAAACTTAAGTATCATAATTTTCTCTAGTGCAAAAAATATTACTATACTAATTGCTTTATTTAAAGGCGTTGGTTGCTATATATGATCAATACATTTATTTGCACACTGGCAGTTGAAATTAACAAAATTTGATTGTGTTTGATGAACTTTAGTATTGAAATCCTAGTAGACATTAGGCAAAAGGGTAAAAATGTAATGCAAACATTATGATGATTAGTTTCAGCTTACCTTCCCTTTACAGTTCTTTTTTTTCCTTGATCAAAATATTAGGTGCTGAAATGGGAAAGGTTAGTACTGTGCTGTAGTGTTTAGGATAATGTGCCAACATGTTCTCTATTCATTACATCATTCTACCCAAGAGATATCCAATAAATAGTATCAGGCTTATGTTAGTCATTTTTTGGTTCATGGAGATGGGTAAATTATGTGATGATTTTGTCTCAATCTTTTACTACATATGACTAGGCCTACAGTAGCCATGATTTTCAATCAGTGTTGAAACGATATGCCAATGCAACACTAGTATTTGGTTTTTCTTTATTTTTATTACGCCCTCCGCTGCCTTTAATCTTCAAAGATAGGTATTTTTCATCCATAAATTTGAAGCATTTTATATTCACCAATAAAATTTTATTTGTATTTTCAGTTAGTGTATTATATTGTAAGAAAATCTATGAATAAATAATTTTTAATAGGGTACTGAAAACAGGCAATATTGTGAGAGTTATGTCTAACATGTAACTTAGTTTCTGTATCAAGATTTTTACAGTGTCGCCAGTACATGCCTAGCATATAAACAATTATAAATGTCTGTATATACAAAAACAAAATGACTGACATGTCAGGGAGAGTGAAACCAGCACTCAATGTTTTCAAACCGGTACACATACAAAGACACAAAAACATTTACAGTAGTTGTTTTGTTTTTTAATTTAGGCTCTTGGACCTCCGCTTAGATCGTTAAGTGTGATTGTACCACTATTGCGCAGGTAGGCGTGGTTTGACGAAGAACGACCAGTCGAATACGGCCAATGAGAGGCTAGCGTCAAAGAGTATAAAACTGCAAGAGGTCCGACTGCCGGTGATTCTTTGGAACGCAATCCTATTTCAAAAAGTACTACCCAGAAAGGGCGTGGCATTTAAAAGAACGTTCAAAGAAAGTGCATTCATATCGAACGCGTGGTGCGCGTCTATGCTAGAATTCGAAACGCGGCACGCGTTCGATACGAACACCTTTTACGTTCTTACAAAGGACACGCCCCTTCGTGGGAGTACTTTTTAACGTTCCATTGCCTGTATACCAAATAAGGGCAGTCGGACCTCTTGCAGTTTTATACTCTTTGCTAGCATTTACTAGAAATAGGTCATATTCGACTAGCCGTTCTTCGTTAAACCACACCCACCGGCGCGGAGTGGTAAAATCTTACTTAAACGAAGACGACCTATGGTAAAAACTCAACAAAACAAAATGGCTGCATAGTTACCGCGATACACACTGCGTAATCAAGGCTGCTTTGGATTGTGGGAGTATGAGTTTTTTGTGATTGTCATCCACAAGCATGACCTGAAAACAATAAAATCACCTATAAACCAAGTCTCATTATTAGGCGTTATTAGGCATCGAGCCATCTAGCACTCAGAGGGATTTGTTGAAAGACACAGTGTGTGTGCCTGGCTAGATATTAGCCCATATATGTGCGTGATATGACATCATCATATACGTGTGCAGGTCATGGATATTTGTCACCTAAAACTCTGCGAGTGTGAACAGAGCCTTAGCACCGTAAGACAATGGCCATATTCGACTGGTAGTTCTTTGACAACGCCCACCTACGCAACGGTAAAATCCTACTTAATGAAGATGACCAGTTGAATAGAAAACTTGTAAATACTCGGAAAAAACAAAATGGCTGCATAGTTACCGCGATACATGCTGTGTAATCAAGATTGCTTCAGTTTGTGGCAGTATGGGTTGTTAGTAAAAAAAAATATTTTTCATCCAGTTGTCTGTTAGCCTACAATTACTTTTTGACTTCAATGTGGGTAAATATTATAATTTTAATTTTCTGAAATTTAATCTAAATTATATTAACGCAAATGTTGTTGCTAAACTGACCGATCGGCCATATTTTTTTGGTCACGTGCATAACTTAATGCTGATTAACGCATTCTGGATACGTTAATTTTCGTTGTCAACGAAGTCTATTTTACGAACCAGTCGAATGAAAATAATACTCAACGAAAATTCGTACTCAACGAAGTAAACCAGTCGACTAAGCCCATAGTAAAGTTAGTTCGTGTTGTAAACGGACCATATTTTTTTGGTTTTTTTACTTGAAAACGTGAAAAATTCCGCCCTTAGCAGGCACTCGCTAAACAGTTTGGGTAAAAATCACCGCCCTTGGTATGATCAGGGAATACATAAACAAGTCAGATAATGTAATGAATACCACAATAATTGATCATTACGTACTAGTAGAGCCTATATATATCAATATATCAATTCAAAAGTCATAATTATAATTGAACAATTAACTATAAAAATATAAATAAGACAATCTATAAAAACGGTTCAGTATAAATTTGAATTCCTAATAGTTATAAATTCATTATTACATTATTATTATTAAATTTGTATTTACAGTAAAGTAGGCCTACGGGATTGAGATTATTAATATTGCACATCATAATTAATTGTAATATTTATATAAAAATACAAATTAGACTTATTCTATTACAAAAATACCTTATAAATATATTTACAGAATTGAATTATTATGGTACTGCATATTATGTACTATATCATTATATTTACAGGATAATTATTACAATGTTAAAATTGTACATCATTAATATTATTCAAATAAAAATCAAAAACTTTCTAAATTTAATTAAAAGACTGATAAATACACACTCATAGTAAATTTTAAGTTGTATTTGAATTTAGTATAAAAGAATTTCTAAAACGCAGCTATTGTTTATGCATTGGCAGCAATAGCATATGTGACATCATTTTTATTCTTGAGAAAATAGCATTTTTATGTTACTGTATTTTAGCCCAAGACACTGGGAATTGTAGGCTTAAAGCAAACATTTTATCTACCAAGATCCATTATTACATGTGTATTGCAATCGTTTATGTTACACTACTAACCATTGTGATCCACGTACTATTTTGCGAGTGTGTGTGGTGGATAGGAGGGAGGGGGGAAGAAGTGGGTGTATTGTATGGACAATATATCGACGTCATTATTACTGTATTTTAATCGGCTATGTTACACCAGATATTATTTCTTTTGAATATTCGTCTGATTTCAATAGGTAGTCGGCATATTACGCCAGTCCTGTTAAACATCCTAGTTTTGGGTCAATGGGCCAAATGATTGTTTTGATGCTGATGGATACGGATTAGATGTGCACGCTTTGTAGAACGATTCTTCTTGTCCCTGTTACAGTTTCCTCTCTTGGTGGGCCTGCATTGGGGTTAAAGTAAGTAGTATAATAGCAATGCTAAATCAGCCTCATCATTGTTGTAAAGATTATTTTTCATATTCACTGT